GATCTAATTTATACCTTAATTTAGTAGATATAGTATAGTATATGCTTGTATTTGTTTGCAAGGAAAAGTAACAAAAACATCTATGACCTTATACCGCGTATATGGGTAAAAATGTGATTAACAATCTGTCCATATCCCGAAAATGGTAAAAATCGGGTCCATACTTCTCTAGCTTCTATGTATCTAATATTACATAAGAGTTTTCCAATTACAGTAGACTTTATAGCATATCCATCGCTCTATCAGGTATTAATGCTACTCTGAGCATCTTTTGTGTTAATACTGTGCCGTACTACAAATAATGTTTTTCGACATTCTAGCAGACTTTATTCCGGATTTATCGGTGATTTGAGTAATCCAAAATTATTGTGATTCTTCTACACCTTCACCCATCCGAAATATCTCGCTATATGAAATATCAATCAAACATTTCTACACACTCAAATAACATAAATGTTCAATTATGCCACAAAGAGAAATTCGATTAATTTTCCTTATTTTCAGATTAAATTGTCAATCCAGGGCTTGTCTGAGGACTTTAGACAGGCATAACCCTTAGGACTAAGATGAAATATTCACTTAACACTATTAAAATATCGCATACTTTCAATATTTTCCAATTCTACAATAGAAAAGGGGAAATCTTAAATAATTAAATTTGGTATCTGGGGAATTTATTTTGGTACTAAACCCATTGGGGTCAAAACCACTCAATATTTAAAATATCCATGAACGATATACTGTAAACTCACCAAGAGGTAGAAAATCCTATATTGTTACGACTAGGAAGATCTTCACCAATTCCTTTCCTTTCTACACATATTAAACCACAGTTTTGAAACCAGGAAATTGACTGATTTTAGACGTCGATCCGAAAATCCTCATTTTAGGTATCTGGGGCTTGCAAAATAAGTTTGATTGTGAAAGGAGACAAGCCGTCCATTTACAATTGATGTATCGATTCACTTGCAATCTTGCCGATTGCCTCTTTTAAGGTCAAATTAAATGCATCTGGCGATTTTCTTCGGAGAGTTGTAGTATTGTTCTTTCAACATAACCGTTATAATAGGGGTAGATGTAGTTTTATTCGATATCACATATTTTCACAATGTATACAGAATGTTTTGTATATTCGTGTCTAATTGATATACAGCTGCGGTCAAAATAATAGCATTCCACCGGTATACTGTTTCTCGGGAACTGTTCTGTCCAATCGTTCTTATAACAACACAGGATTATTAATCACTAAATAAAATCAGTATTTAATACCTTATAGTTGCGATATAATAACTGTGAACTGTATAACTCACTCGGTCATAAAAATAGAATCTTCACTCGATTTTTGTTAAGTAAAAATAATAAAACTGTAACAAAATATGTATTCATTTTATTGTATTAAATTTACATAAAAACTTTATTATAATAGATTTTTGCATATCCGTATTGTTTTCGGCTGACATTAAACACAACTTTCTTTAAATGGACACAAGGTTTTATTTATGGGTTCAGATCGGGCGATTGTGGGCCAGTCCTCAAGCTTTCCCGTGTCCTTGAACCACTTACGCGCCGTTTGCTGGTATGCTTCGGATCATTATCTTGCGGCATTGTCTAATTGGCATTTCCTCTCGTCGCGGCACCATCACTTTTGCAAAATATCCGTTTACATGCTGTTTCATCGTAGTTTTAATCAATAGGGGTCAATACTATATAAAAAGCACGCCTCATAATACTAAGCCGCCGGCCTTTACGGTATTTGCTTGCGTGCTTTGTGCTACTCGGTCTGCTTAGGCCTTCTAACGATCGGATCATCGGCCACCACAAAATTACCTTGCTCTCGTCAATCAAAGACTGTTTCGCCACCTCTCAGTTAGCCATTTTAAGTGGATTTTCGCAAACTTCAGCGCTTTGCTACATGTTATGGTAGAAGCGGCCACGTCCAGTCATTTAGCTTTAAGTAAAATCTCAAAATTCGAGGTACCCAGCTGTAGATCTGTAAATACTTGTATTTGACACCAAAAGTTGTCTCAAAACCTACATATGGTAGGGTGTACGCAACTATTAAATCGGTTTTGCGCTTTTTGTAAATATTCATTTCCTATGGGTTTTGCTATTGGTATTTATTATCAATATTGTAGAATACAAAATTCTCTACAAGGTTTGTTTAAAAATTTTCATACGGTGAACCGTTTTCGAGATAGAGGGCGGAGAGCGCGCGTTACATCACTTCAGGTCAACCGTGCCTCGATCATTTGTCAATTTGTTGTCTTAACTATTATATTATATTTTATCATTTTTCCTAACCTATCCACTTTTTATTCAGTATTAATTTATTTAACAACACTTACCTGCCCATGAAACTGCAGAATTGTTAATGAAAATATAGGAATTATATTTAAATTTAAACCTTATTAATTAATCTCTTACATGATAAAAATTAAAAATTATCATTCAATACATTTATTTTTATTAAAAGTAAAAATGGAATAAAGGGTACAAAACTACAATTTATAATTTTAATCATCTTCTTCCTCTTCATCGTCGTCTTCCGGCTGCTGGTAAATTTCAAACTGGTCTTCATTATCGTCTTCAACGACATTTGTTTCAAGTTCTTCCATGATTTCGGGGTCAAAAGTTCCATCTTCGTTAATGTCGCTCTGATATGGTAGAGCATTGAGACAAGCTTGCCTTACATTGGCCACAAGCTAAAGAGCATTGCAAGCCCGCTTTCCTGCATCCGCATCGCAAACCACAACCACTCTTGCAGTTGCAGAAAATTGTATTTAGCAAATGTTCTGGAGCAGGTGTAATGTCATGATAGGCTCCAGAAAATCGTTTCGCATTGCCCAACCCCATACCTGGGGTTCCAAATCATGCCCTACCAAGTTTGAACTTGATAATATACACGTTCGAAATGTTGATGAGCAGCTGCCTTGGTGGAATATTTGAAAGCTGCACAGGTTTATTAAGTTTTGTAGACTTGACGTAATGCATATAACGAAGATGATCCCCACGTTCTTCTGCTTTTTATAACAGTATCTTTGAACTCAAGAGTACTCACATTTTATCTTCCGCCTGTATTTTCTCTTTTCTTTTCTCTGCAGCCTCATCAACCTTCGCCACAAAATAAACATTGATTCTTAAATCAAACACTTCACCTCGTTTTAACGGGTACTAATGGAAGTTATAGTTTCTCCTTCTTCTTGTTTCCGTTTGCTGCTTGGATACAGTTTTTACTAATGTAAACACTTCGGCACTTTTCATGCACTTTAACAGAGGTTACTGATTTTAAATAATCAAATTTTCCGTCGTTTCGTTCGACACTTGCAGTTCGTAGAGATTTCCCGCGTACTACTTCAATAAGCGCTTCACCTCCGAATCTGACATTACATAACCAAATCACCAAGTTTTTGAAATTGCGTCCGTAGTTTCAAGATACGATACAACTGAAACAAAGAAAGGTCGTAACTATACAATATACTTGAACATCTGTTCTACTGGCTATAAATAGAAAGGTCCGTAGTGTATAATAGGGGTATATTCCCAAGTATAATTTTGACGTAGTGGAAGGATTTTAAAATTTACAGATTTTAAAGATGCACTTAATTATTTTCTAGTTAAAATGTCATTAGTGTTAATGGGAATATAATTATAAGATTAAGTTTTCCCTTCATTATTTTTAATTTTAGGAAACGGTGATCAGTATTTGAATAGATAATTTAAGGCATGAAGAAAATGATAAAATATAATATAGTTAATAAAAATTGACAAATATTTATAATCATTGATTTATCGATAGTTCATCAACTATATATGGCGCGTTTTGATCGGAGGCACCGGTTGACCTGCCGTGACCTCGTGCTCTCTCCGCCCTCTATCGAAAACGGTTCACCGTATGAAACATTTTTAACATAATTGTAGAAATTTTGTATTCTACAATATTGATAATAAATACCAATAGCAAAAACCCATAGGAAATGAGATATTTACAAAAAGCGCAAAAAACCGATTTTTGTGACCTTTGACCTTGAAATTTAATAGTTGCGTACACCCTACCATATGTAGGTTTTGAGACAACTTTTAGGGTGTCAATATACAAGAATTTACAGACTTACAGCTGGGTAATAAGTAAATAAGGTAAATCCTAATAAGTTTAATGTGAATATCTCCTAAACCACTAAAGCTGTAATAACAAAATTCACTGAGAACAAATGTTTTTAGCGCGGCACCGCCCACTATAGGTGGAAATCCATATCTTAGGATCTGCTTAACCGATTTAAATCAAATTCGGTCATTAGTATTTTTCTCATATTTGTATGTTATTGTGCGAAACGGATTACAACCACGCCTATATCCCATATAACACCATTTTAAATTCCATCTGATTTTTTCACTTTCAAGTATGCAAATCAAGCAACAATGGTTGCATTGGGTCAAAACTTTGCGTGAATAATACGTTTAAAGTATGCCAACTTGTGACCAAAAATTGTCTAAATCGAGTCAAACTGTTCCAGCCCCTAGGTAGTGAATATGTGGTCCCCAGTGCAGTATAGTTGACTTTTTACCGAAAATATCTATACTATTATTTTAACCGCGCAAAAGTAAACACGCAATGCAAAATTGAATCAAACCAAAAATTTCGTTTAAGTTTGTAACGAACTTTTCATACTTAGAAGGAGAGCAGACATAACAATCACCCACAGTAATTGCTTCCGGATCAGAAAAAATATAAAAAAAATTGTTTTTAAATTTTAACAGTTTAATAATCTACTTAATGTGGATGGAGAGACAGCTGCCCGGAAATCAACTCGTACATCATCCTCACCATTTTGATATCCAAAGTATAACTCTGTATCTATCTTACTTTTCATATATAGATATAAATTTACTTTTAACAAAGGGTTTAAATCTAGCTATGTAATCTAGAAATAACGGTATTTTAATATTGATATTGAATTTTAGACTGTTTAAATTGTATAAGTTTCAATTAATAAATGTTACGCCACAGTTTTTCAAAAATTTATTTAAGTTTTGTATTTGTATATACATATATATTGACATTCATACATGCAAATTTATTGAATTGTATTTAGTCCTTCATTTTCTTCAGCAGGGCATAGTAGCTATATGAGGAATTGACTATCTGAAATAAATGAAGGCAGCCAAATCTGAATGAAATCCGTCGTAGTCTTATTATAAGCTGGTTTATCACTTATAAACTTATATGTACATATGTATATATAATGCAAACTCCCTTAAGGGACTAGGCCAGGGTAGAGTCCTTAGGAGCCTCCCTTTATTCTGGGAGGTTGAAAACCAAACAATTATTTATTAAACGTTATTAAACTTGTATTGCATAGAAATGTTATATTGAAACTTTTATACAAAACCCGGCTACTGGGCCAATCTCAGAATGACCCTTTAGAAGAGTGCCTATGATTGTAGAATTCAATGCTCACCCAAAATCAAAAGTAAAAAGGAATCTTATTCTACTTAAGACTTACTAGTAAAGTACGAATGATTTTCGCAATTTTTCGCAAATTACAGGATTGTCACCAATGAAAAACATAATTTTTTGAAAATCTTTGACTGGCCTAACAACTAACTAATAACAAGCTTTGCTTTGTAATAAACTCGAAGGATTATTTTGAATGTGACCTTATACGAAGTATATTTTAAGGCAAAAGCATTTCAGAAGAGGTATATTTCTAGTTTTTGAGAATATTTGTGTTTTGTTCTTTTTATTTTTAAATTACTAGTACTTACCGACGTAAAAGCTGGCAAATTGAAAGAATAGCAACGATTTATTGTTTTGATTCGAATGGGTACATCAAACTGTGCCATCATCAATAACATCATACGTCGATTGGTTTGACTGCACCGAGTCCATTCGGACGAGTACAAAGAGTATGATAGCTCTGCACTTCTGAGCGACACTTCATTTGCAAAATAACACAGCATAAAAATTTGGGCTAACATACATAGTTGATAGACTAGAAATTTTATGAAGGTAACATAATCACTGGGGTCGGTTAGCTGAAAGAAGAGAGAACTATGTACAGATGATCAAAGGTCAAATTGAAAGCACCTACAAACGTCATTGCGTAAAAATTAGCTACAAGTACGAGTACCGAACTGATCATTTGTACAGACATTGGAATGCTTAGAAGCTCTTCCATGATTTCGGTAATATTCCGTAGTTTTACATACTGTTGGATGCAATCTCTTAACTGTAGGTTTATCATATTATCATCCACGTACAGATTGGTGCCGATATTTTCTAACCGATTTGCTAAAATGTCTAACTGACCTTTCAAATATATGAAGAATGATGAACTTAAAGAATCGAAAGATATATTAAGCAAACAACATAGGGATAAACCAATAAACTGAAACAAATATGCTATTAAATAGCACCAAAAGTTCTCCACGCTTATGGGTATATAAATAGATAGAGGTAGTTCGCTAGGCTCCGATATAATCTGCGTAATGAAAATCAGCGATAGTGATGTTAACGAAAGATACGTGTAACTGTTGCGTACTCTACAGCTTAAATGTGAAGATTGAGTGTATTTCTCTAGTTCAGATACATTGACCGGCAGCAGGTCGTCGTCGTGGATACGCGCGAATAATGCTACATATGAACTGTTTTTTAAGCGAATGCGCACAAATTTAGCCATTACCGCAATAGCCATTGAGCAAAGATAAAACACTTTTATTATCTCGTTCAGATTCGATATGTTGCCGACTATTTTAATCCACATGCTGATATCGAAAAGTAGCATCCAAAAGATCGCTACATGCCAAAAGTACAGTTTATACATATAATGCCAAAATGATGAGTAGTGCGCGGGCAAATCGAAGAGTCCTAACAACTTGAAAAATAAATATTGTACTTTATAAAATGAATATACAATTCCTTTGGCGTCGTCCATAATTCCAAGGCAAACTAGTTTAATAAGCGAATTGTAACCGACTTTTATACAAAGGAATGACGTAGGTTAATAATGTTGCTAATGACATCGTCTGCTACTCATGCATTATTTGTTGGGAAATTAGCAATTACAATATAACTTAGTAACAATTGGTTATAATATTTTAAGTCTAATTTTGGGCCCTACTTTTTTGGTTATACGATAACTCAAACTGATATTTGCAATATACAATAAGTATTTAATGTTCGATTGCCGCCCGAATTTATGGGCTAAGTTTTACTTTACTCGTTAATGACAAACTTAAAATAAATTGGAATTACAAAGGTATTCAAAATTTGAGTCTGCCCTATTTTCTTATTCTCTATCTTTAAAAGAAACAGACCATAAAAAGTAACTAGTTTTTTTACGATGATGTCATTGGCGTTTAAATTGGTTGAAGTGTGTATTGATATTGTTTTCAACATTGACTTTCATAATTAAAATGTAATTAGTGCTTTAATGCATCTCACATTATTTTCATGTAACACAATAATATACATATATGCATGTGTATAGTAAATGTATTTAGTATAATAATAAGTATTTAAGTAAATAGAAATATACAGTGCGTTCAATAAATAACGTTTTAGTTTTCCAAAGTGTAGGTAGCGTATATTGGGAAAATGTTGTAATTATAGAAAAAAACATTGTTTTATTATAGCTGACTTTTATTCTATACTCCAATCTCCCACGTTGTCTTTTATAGTCTGACATCCTTCATGGCAACTTGGAATTAATTTTCTGCATATATTTTATATTGCATAGTAAGTGACCTCCAGATAGTCGAATGAAATGTTTTGTTGACGTTAAATGTTTTCTTGATATTTTGGTTTTTATTAAAGCCCAAATATTCTCTATTGGATTATGGTTATTTTTTGCCGTAAACCATTTCAGTTGACTTCACAAAACTCTTTTTATACAATTATATCATTCTAACGGTGTTCAGGTTTTCGTGAAGCACTTCAAAACCCAACGAGATGCCAACTTCATTATACCCCTCTCGTAGAAGACTGCGTCCCTATTGCCAAAAAACTCGGAGAGCCAAGATGGCAGCTTCTCACCATTAAGCGCGTTCGCCATGGAGAGGAAAAGATGGTAATCACTTGGTGCCAGAGCCGAACTATAAGGTGGGTGCATTAGAACCTCCCATCCGAGCTCCAGGATCTTCTGGCGAGTCACCAAAGACGTGTGTGGCCTGGCGTTGTCCTGATGGAACACAACTCGGCCTCTGTTGATCAAAGATGGCCTCTTCTGGATGAGTGCTGCCTTCAAGCGGTACAGTTGTTGGCAGTAGAGGGCCGAATTGAGCGTTTGGCCATAGGGGGGCAGCTCGAAGTAGATGATTCCTTGCCCATCCCACCAAACACACAGCAAAACCTTCCTGGCCGTCAATCCGGTTTGGCCATCGTCTGGGCTGCTTCCCCGAGCTTTGACCACGACCGTTTGCGCTCGATGTTGTCATAAGTGACCCATTTTTCATCGCCAGTCACAATCCGCTTCAGAAACGGGTCGATTTTGTTGCGATTCTGCAGCGATTTGCAGATGGAAATTCAGTCCATCATGTTTTTTGCGTTAGTTCGTGTGACACCCAAACATCGAGCTCCTTTTTGAATCCAAGGTTTTGCAAATGGTTCCAGACGGTTTTCTGGCTTATCTTTAGTTCCTCAGCAATTAAATAAGTGCTCACGTGACGGTCTGTTTCCACTATTTCCATGATTTTATCGCAATTTTCGACGACAGGCCTCCCGACGCGTGGTGCATCTTTGACATCGAAATTACCGGAACGGAACCTAGCAAATCACTTTTGTGCTACACGTTCGTTTACAGTATCCTGCCCATAAACTAATTTAATGTTTTCAGCCGCTTTGGCTGCTTTTTCGCTTTGATCGAAGAAAAATTTTAAAATATAGCGAATTTTCTCTTTGTTGGTGTCCATCTTTGACGAGCGCTCACACGAACTGAGTAAATCAATCGAAAAACTGTCAAACAAACGGACAAACTTTTAGCGCGAATAAACACGTTTACAGCGCCGTATAGTATGACATGATGCGACGTGTAACACTAGTACTATGGACAATAACGCCATCTCTTAGATAAAAACCGAACGAACTTTTTACTTGACCTAAATATTTTGCAGTTTTTTTAATAATCCATTTGGGATCTTAAAGACGCTTCGTTGGAAAGGGTGCTTCAAAACGTTTCTTATACTGTGCACTCACTTTTTCACGGCACAACGTGTCACATTAAGAAGATCGAAAAAAGACTGAGCAAATTGTTCGTGTCAAAGTGGTCACTATTGAACATATGTTAATTTGCAAAAAAAAAAATAAAAATAAAAAAAATTGTCCATGAATTGATCACGCAAAGGAAAAACGTTACTTTTCGAAAGCACGGTATACACTAGGGTTTTTTGCACAACTTTTTTAACTTTACAATTTTTTCATTAGAAACCGTGAAAATATTGTCAAATCTGTCGAAAAAAATATGGTTAGGTTTCAACTCTTAATATTTATATCAATAGGTGGTGCATTGTGAGTTGTGATTTCCCATATAAATAACACAGGAATATTTTTATATTTTCTTTGGATGGTTAATGCATTTGAACAAATTATTGTGTAGTAATTTTATGTTTTGGCCCATCCTAATATACACATTATGTATACGTAAAGAAGTTCTAACTGTCCTTATCAAACTTAGGAAAGGAAAGCCTTGTTCGGGTGTAAATAAATATTTAATACGCAATTTACAACTTGACTTAAAAGTGAGCTTGTACTTCCGATTTTCGCAGGATTTCACCTAAAAGTGGGGGGTGCCAAGCCATTTATCCATTTTTTATACGAATTCTAATGAAAGCTTTAAGTACCATATGGCTGTGAAATTTAATTAGTGAGTTATCGCACTTTTAGTAGTTTTCAACGTACCCTTATATGGAGTGGATGGGTGGGTCATCTGATTTCATCCATTTTCACACAGTCTGAGAAAATAAGACTTCGTATATGTAATATTATGTACCGAATATTAATCAATAAAAAACTAAATTTTTTGACAATACGTTGTTTTGCATTTTAGGTCATAATACAATATATAACTATTTTAGTTTTAAGATATACTCCTATAAACAATCGTTAGGTGAACGAAACTTTATCATCTTTTGCAACAAGTTGCGAGAATACAATACCGAAACTTTTTGCTTTGTTCAATTATGTGTGCTCAATAATATTATGTGTTTTTGTAATTATCAATGAGGAGTAACTTTGAATTTTGAATAAATGTGAAAAAAAATCGTTAAATATAATATATGTAAACATGTTCCATTATATGGAACATATACTTTGAGTGAACCCTTGTCCGAATATGGGTTGGTGTCGCTATATATACATACGAGTATTCATAGCCACAAAGACCAATGAGACCAAAATATTAACTTCAAAACACATGATAAGTACTGCAATGATACTATGCGAAATAATTTTGAGGCAAATCGTGGATACCTGAGTTCGGTTTTATATGTTAAAATCTCACCAATACCGGGGTAATAAAAATAAACAACACATTTATATTCATTTTCTTGATATTCATGAAATTGTTTGATACTTCTTTCAAGCTATCTCTATGAATAGACAAATTTGGTGATATTGGTTGAACAATGATTGTGTCTATATTTTGATAGAGCGTCGAGAGTCACAAGGGAAGGCTAATTTTGTACTTTCTGTTTAATGATATAATTGTTTTTATTAAAAAAAACAACAATAATTCAATATTATTATGAGATTTTTACTATATCAGGGCGAATAGCGCGAGTTGGGAAAAGAAACCTGCTGGTGCTAGATGAGGCCCGTGAAAGTTTTCTGTTACTTTTACATTTCTTCTTCTGCGAAAGCATATCATCGATACCAGAAGCATCTAAATTACATAAGGCCCTAGCAAAAGATACAACAAAAGGAAAATGGCATTAAAGCTAGGAAACAACGAATACACAAGGAATGAAATAGAACGAGCGATAACTCTACTCAAGATACACTTTCCAGGCTCCACAGCAAGTACCTTAAACAGTCATAGGGAATATCCAATCCCAACAACCGATACATGATCGTTATCTAAAAAGACAATTAGCTACAGAACGATACAGTGAGCAGTAAACTCCTTTGAGAAATACCATCACCAGTTATAGATGGAATATGGCCAGCACTCCTACAGAATGGAGAACAACAACTAATTTCCGTGCTGGTCCACATCATGAGAGAAAGCATGTTTATCCCCAAACCAGGCAAAAAGGACTACCCTACCTCGTAGACGATGTGCTAGATATTCTGACAAATAACGGCATAAGATCCCAAGGATATGCAGATGACATCGTAATAATAACAGTAGGAAAATCCGAAAACACAATATATAGAGAACAAAGAAATGGTGTTTGGAAGCAGGACTAAGCATAATTCCTGCAAAGACCGCTATAGTGCCATTTACATAGTCATGAAATAAATATGAAAAATATACGAATAAGTAATAGCATAATAGAAACTCTTCTCGAAACGAAATACCTAGGGGTAACTTTTGATTCCAGAGTAACGTGGAAAAGGCACATGGACCAAGCGATCAGTAAAGCAACAAGGTCATTGATGATAAGCAGAAGAATAGCTGGAAAGATATAGGGATGTACATCCAAGATAATCCGCTGGATTTATACTAGAATAGTAAAAACGGTAATAACTTATGGAGCAATTACCTGGTCGGAAAGAGTAAAACTAAACTCAGCCATAACGGCACTGGCAAAACTCCAAAGAAGGGCGTGCGCCTGTATAACAGGCTACAATAAGACATGCTCAACAGTGGCACTAAAAGGCCTATTTGACCTCCGTCCGCTTCACGAAGTTATATAGCTTTCGCAAAATAAAAATCGATTAAAAATAATGGAAGATGAGAAAGGAAAAGGAAAGATCGTTACATCCAAAAAAAAGCAGCAGAAATAAGGGAAATAATTCCACTTCAAGCAGAACACCAATTAACCATCATATTGTAATCTGCAGCGACAGCAAGCAGGATTTTTTACAGCACACATCCTCCTACATTTATCTATCTATCTATCTACATTTAAAGGAAACAAATATTTATTTTTCTTTTTTATACCAAGCAGTTGAAAGTTTAATTATCAGAAAATTGAAAAGGGTAAAAACAAACAATTTTTTTTTTATTTTTATCGCTTCTTTTGTACAAATACGAGTATATAGAAAGGCGAACAATTTGTTGAGTTCGTTGAGAACAATCGCGAAACTAGACTAGAAATGCCGCTATTTCGAAACGGTAAAAATTAAATGGCCGTGGGAAATGTTACAAACATTAAGAGTCAATACAATCTACTATCCCTAGGAAAATATTTATGTACTTTTTGAGTACAATTATATTTTTGAAACGTTTTGCTCTTCTTAAGCCATTTGTGTTTTATACCACTGCGCACAAATACGGTGATTATAATATTTAAAACCACCTTATGCCTGTGATAGACATGTGGTAACAATACCATACTACGAACGAAAACCAAATATGTACCACCAAATATTAGCATTGCTGGTAACAATACTATCATATTTCATCGTAGTATTTCATGAAACATAGCTATTAGCAACCATAGATATCATAGATTGCGCCAGTCCAAAGTTTAAATTACTTAAACTGTTTTTTGATAACTACCGTCAACAAGGAAACGGAGAGTTTGTGGAAATTTTCCTTCATCTCATTAAGCAAAATCAAAATGCTTCTCTGTTTAAACGAAAATAACTTTTAAATCTGCAACAAACAATATTTAAAAGTAATTTAACTGTCAATAAAACATCGGCTTACTTGGTGTTCGGAAGATATAATGGATTTAAGTGACCACGAAGGCTTTTTCGTATGCGCTGCACATCAGTTTTGACCCCTACATTTTTGTCATCGTAATATAAATCAAAACTAATGTCGATATTAATAATTATTCACCTTTTCGTGAGCAATAACGGAATTGAATTGTTTTTTCTTTACCTTTTAAAGATTTTCAGCAGCTGGCAACCGCAATGAAAGTTCGGCTGAAGAGAGTTGAAGTTCGTAATACCAAAAATGTGTTTAATTTGAATACTTCAATTCAACTGAGTGGAGTTGAAAACTGTAATAGGGGTATACATTTTTCAACCGAGATGGCACGAAAGCGCTTTATAGGAACTGGTAATAATTTCACAATGGACGTAGCTTCGCCCGTATTTAGATAAAAACGTATATTTCAAGACCTACTCGATCAATTTCAAATTCTTAAGTTATAATATATTAAATGTCATTCGAATTAAAACTTTGCACAAATAGTGCATTTAGGGTCTTAAGTATAAAAAATTGATGAAATCGGATAATAACTTTTCGAGCCCCAGATTACGAATATGTGGACCCTAGTAACCGTGACTGACTTTTTACCCGAAATATCGTTCAATCTGTGAGATGTATTATGTAAATTCAGAGATATTTTTTTCTCGTCAATACTTTCCTTAACTTTTTATAGAATATATCGGGTCAATAGTTCCCTTAGCCTCCATATACCTAATAGAAAGATTTTCAAACTTCAGGTTGACTTTATACCGCATATATCGACAAATATGTGAGTAGTATCCTTATAACTAATATGATTTTCAACACATTCGGTTGCTTTTATTTCTTATATTATATATTTGTGAGGTACCTTAATGAAACTCAGAGAGTATCTTTAATGAAATTAAATGATAAACTTAAAAATTATTTGGTTTAGATTTTAAAGAAGATTAAAGTGCCTTTAATTTTCCGATTTTTTACAGTTACGCTTTTTAAAACGTAGATTTAAACACAGCATTGTTTACAGACCGTTTGTTTATTTCTTCGCCGTATTTTTTTAATATTATGTAATTTTAAAATTATAACAGATACACAATTAAGAATGTTTGTATATATGTATGAAAATATAGTTTTGACTACAACGGCGTACATTTAAGCAATGCTGAAGCTTATAATCTTGGTAATTTTTTATATTTAACATATTTGGTTGTTAGTAATTGTGTCTCAATAAAAGTGATGATAGTGTTTGGCCCGCTTTTATTTTAAGTTTAAACTTGCTTTATAGGTAACGCATGCAAAAAAAAAATACTAAGAATAAATAAAACATATTTTCACATATTATACATACAATAAGTTGCAAGGTATATATGTATGTGTACATATATACATATGTATGTATGTTGATATACTATTGTGCATAATATGATTTACGTAGCGCTCGTCGGAAAGAAATATCTTGGGAAAAGTTCGTTTTATGAAGCTAGGTTAAATATGGCTAATTTTCAAAATACGTTATAAAAACTAATATGCAGTAATAAACAAAATTCGTTTGATTTCCTTCGAACTTCACAAAAATATGTTAGTACATATTTATATGAATAAAGGCTTATGATAATATTGTGTTTGTTATATTACTATATATTTGTTGTTGAATCAAGTCAAAGAAAATAGGTATGTATGAATATTCAATTATATATATCTATGGGGTTGTGTGCATTACAATTATATGCCTTCAATTATCATTTTTGTTTATCAATTTCATAACAACTTTACCGTTTTGTACTTCGAGGGCATAAAGACTTCCGTCTCTCACCTCATTATTTAATACCTCGTCAGTGACGTTTACATGTACGCCTGAAGGGCCTGCTAGAAAAATAAAGTTTTTAGTGCTATCATTGAAAATATTTGAACCACTGCCGGAATATTTTGAGTGCATGCTCCAGCTACTGTAAATTGAGCCATTTTCTAATGGTCCATTTGTGTTGCCATTTGCAATCATCTCGTAGAATCCAGGCAGTTTGCACAATTTCTGCATTAGCTCCTTTGAAGTGTTCGATAGCAAGTATATGGCATTGTAGCTATTGCCATCCAAACTTACATAAAGTGTTAGACGCGGTGCAATAGTTCTGAAAAATAATTTCCATTAATACATATGTAATAAAGCAATTAAAAAAGGAAAATATGGTCATACTTAGCGCGTAATATGTTAAACATGCGAATTCCATCGGCAAGCCCGCATATTTGCACCAAATCCTCTTTAGACATCCTAACAAATAAATTGTCATAATTAGTCAAAATTAAAGTGTAAGATTTATTGTTTTTGACTAAGAGCTGACAATAGTTTAAGTTTTTATACTGTCGTAGTTTTTATATAAGTTAAATTAATTAATTTATTTGTTTTTTGTACACACATTATATGTAATGTGACCAGAGAATGTTAATGAATAGAGAAGGCGCAAACAGAGAATGTTAATGAATAGAGAGCAAATGTTAGCTGTACTAAAATATTAATTACGATGAGGGAACATCGAAAACGCGCAAGGCCGAAAATTAAATGTCACCACACCTATCAGGGTACGCAACGAACTACAACACTCTATAAGCAAAATGTATATACATACACACAGATGTTCTTTGGTATGTGCATTAACAAAAATTTAAATAATAAAAACGAAAGAAATTGACTTCTGACAAGAAAATATTAATAATGAGGGAAATAATATGAAAAATATCATTTAATAAAAAAGGGTTATAAAAATAAAAAAAGAGTATAAAAACATATCTGATAGGATTTTAATTTAGGCAAAATATATCATTGCAATATTAGAGTGTGCTATAGAAATAGCACCACAGACGATACTCGAGCAGCTTTGTCTAATCTGTGAACTCAAACAGCTATTGTTGTTTACTTCAAATTTTCATATGTCTATATGTAAATATTCTTGAAATTGCCTTCCCTCATTCGCATGTCCAAAAATATTTGCACATATGTATGTCCCTCAATATGTCTTTCGCAAAAAATCAAACATTCGCGCAAGTGACAAAAAAACGTAGACACCATCATCGGCCAATAATATTCAAGCGAACTCGCGGCTTATTTTCTAAGTATTTCATATTACAACGACAACAAATGCATTCATAAGGAACGTGCATCTGCTTCAAAGCAAAGTGCGTTCGTTCATAACTCTGCGCCGCGCAATTTTTTTTGTGCGCCTGCTAAACCACATTTGGTTTTCATATAGAATTCCTACCGTAAATGCACGAAAATAAAAATGAGTGAAATTGAATTTGAATGTCTTCTTGAAACTTCTTTAATTTTACAACTGATCCTACCATTCCCCTCGCATTTGTATTTTCCCCACAAGCTGCCTCCTCACGACGATGCTAAAAATCAGAAATTGAAGAATTTGTCTGATGTTCCCTTCAGAAAGGAAAATTGGCAACATGACCTATTAGCTATTTAAAATAATATTTATATTTTTTTCATATTATGCACTATATATGACATTAAATCATAAAATTTATATAAAATTGACATGTATATGAAATCATTAACTACTTCTATATACTCTAAGCACACCCATATAGTACTTTTATATGTTTACTTATTATCATTATTTTATAGTTTGTCGATTTAGCCCATTGAAACAAATTTTGTCAACTCCGCGACGATTCACACAATTTGGTGTCAATATGTCTGCGAGCTCATATATGTATGTATGTATGTATATACATATGTATATTTGTGGACAAAGTCGTTGTTTTAGTTCGCCGTTATTTCGTTGGCATGCCACCATGCACATAGGCGTGTCAAGTGGGGCCTCATAATATAATATTAATATGTTGCTTGGCAAATAATGACCCCCACTTCCTAGGGGGTTGTAAGGGGTGACACAATTAAGTGTCCTTTTTATGAATTCGAAGGAATTACCCGTCGGTCACCCCTTAAAAAAAAGTTATGGAGGGTGGAAAATCCCCAGGTTGTTCAGTCAGCGTGAATAATTTGTGGTCTAAATGGACGTGTTCATTAATTGCGTCAAACTTTCTGCACAAACAGCAGCGAAAAGGATTTTGACGCGATTGAATATGAAACCCCGGTTTGACCGACCAGGTTATTTGAAGCGCGCCGAAGGCCGCCAGTGCAGAAAGGAGTTTGACGCGATTGAATGAACATCCGGTTTTTGACCGACCAGGGTTGAATTTGGAATATGCCGTTTTCACGAAATTTAACCCTTCATATAATTTTTGAAGGTGGCGACGGCTAAATCCACTGAAATTGTATTTCACAGACTCCCTTCACATACCATCTCAACCCAACCCTCCGAAGTGGGGTCATTAAGTACATAATAACAAATATATATACACATAACATACCTATAATCGTTTAAACTAAATTGATAAATAAATATAATATAAAATAAAAATAATTAAAATTTCATTCATGAGTTTTAGGACTCGAACGATAGGTTGTATTCGATTGTGCTTAACCCTTCCCGCCTATGACTCAGCCACCACAAAAGTGGAACCCGCGCTTAGCCAGCGTTTTATTGTTATCCTTGCTCAATAAGAAATTGCTCATGCAACGCACAATACATAAGTTGGAAAATAGCCTATTAAATGTTTATTTTATACATACATATATAGCGGTAATACAGCTTTTAATTCAGAAGGTTTTCATAATTATAAATTTTGTCATATCAGAAATTGAAAACATAAATCAAAATAGGTATGCGCAATGATTTTCATTTAGAATATTCGTTGTGTTCTATTTATAGCATTTCGCACATTGTGTGGTGTATTTTCGAAGAGATTTTCGATGTTCCCTCATTGAATTACAAATTAGTACACAAAAGATTTGATTTAACATTTGCGCCTTCTCTATTCATTAACATTCTCTGGTGTGATCCAAATAAGTCCACATGTTCTCGCTACTTGCAAATTACAGGTAGCGAATAATTCCAGATGTTGCAAACATATTAACAAGTAAGAAATGCTATATATTAACAAGTAGAAAAGTTCGGGTGTAACGAATATTTTATCATTTGCAACTTGCAAAATCAAAAGTCCGTAAAAATTTATATTAAAAATGTTGAAAGAATTCAACATCGTTATTCGATGAAATCGTGAATAAATTATTGTACAATAAAATTGGTATCTTCTTGATTATATTGAAGGCCATACACTGACCGACATATTCGGCAAAACTAGTTAGAATAACGCAAATTGTTATATGTAGTATATGGTATATGGTAGTATTGACCCGATTTTGCCAATACCACATATCACTAACATGACACAGACAATAAAATGTCCCTGGTTTTCTTTAAGGTACCTGACATACCATCCCAATCATATGGAGTAAAGTAAGCCGAATGTTGAAAATCCTGATATTAGTTATACTCGTATGGGGACAGGTCAAGCTGCCAAATTTTATCCATTTGAGGCACAATGATACTGTCAAGATTTGAGCATTAGATTGCAGTCCCACGCATAAAAGCAGGACCCAGTCAGCTGATTGCTGAATCAGCATTGTGTCCTTCTTTAGCATTGCTATCCACTTCAGCATAGGGCCCTGCTGCCCAAATTGCCTACAACCACCAGGTATGAGTGGGGATGAGCTTTCAGACGAACAACATCCCAATGACTCAGGACCTTTAATATTTATTGAGAAGCGAACTCTTCAGAGACCAGCCCGTCCCTTTAAGCTCATGTGGCAGCGGTAAATTCATCTGAGCGTTACATTGTGGAAAGGTGCAACGGTTGTTTGCCAACTTTGTTCTAACGGGCACCGAATATATAAATGTCAACGGCATCTTTCAATACTCTAACGGTGGAATACAGTTAATCGGCTCTCATTATGTTTCAATTGTCTTAGGCTGACGGATCGCGCGATTGTACATCGCGTGATTGTTTAAGATGCCTCATCGCCATCATATTATGCTTTGCAAAGCAACGTTGCACACAATTCACCGACTATGGGGAAGACATTAACAGTCAATCCCGACCGGACTATACCCAGAGACGCACCTTCAACACAGGTGCCATAGGTATATCCACGACAACAGTGACATTTGAGGAGGTCCGGTCGTTTCTCGTAAATGAGCACGGACCAATTTTATTAGCGACTGAAGGTCATCTTATTGCCCACAACGGAAGACAATTTGCATGTCGCGCTCTGCGACCTGGGCTCAGGTGAGTTCACGATGCTACTACAAAACGTATGTGTCTTCGTAGGCATCCAGGAGAGATACGAATTGAAGGCATTGGTTCTAACGCTGCAGTCTATAGTAAGGGCCATATAACAGTTCAGATGCAGGCGGCTTTTGACAACAGCAGTAACTTTAAACTTGAGGCTTTTGTGGTGCCGAAAATAACCTCAGTAACGCCAGATACTAAAATAAACGCAGAAGCCTGGAGCCATTTGAAGGATTTGCCGACCCAACATTTGGTACTCCGGGTCAGGTGGATTTGCCACTTGGTGCTGACGTACTGACGGATATCTTTTAAGAGGGTTTAAAACAGGCACCCGCACTTCAGACGGCTGGTACCAGGTGCAAATTTTATTTCGACCAGATGCTCCTGCACTTGGCAATGCATCAGTTTTTAGAACTCGAGCGGCGAGAAATTTATGCGAGAATACATTGATCTCGATCATATGGAGGTTAGCAAAGAAACCTTCATTGGCAAAGAAACTGGTTACTTCATACCTCATCATGCGGTAACCACAAAATTTCGCGTGATTTTCAACGCTTCCGCGAAGACTTCTAGTGAGACATCCTTAAACGATACACAGCTTTCTGGACCACAGTTACATGCAAATATTGTCGACTTTCTTAGCCGTTTTCGCAAATTCAACGTAGCAATTACTGCAGACGTTAAGAAAATGTTCCGACAAATATTGATAGACAAACGACATCGTAAATGGCAGCGAATACTCTAGCGTGAATCACCAAATAAACCTCTTCAAGTATATGAATTAAAGACGTTAACTTATGGAATGGCGTGTAGCCCATTCAACGCAGTACGCGCACTGCGTCAATGTGCGAATGACAATTATAAAGTTATCTATGGCCCTTAGTTATCTTATGGCATACTTTATAATTTCTACGTTGATGACTATTTGGATAGCGTCGACAGCGACAAACTCGCCGTTACTCGGGCTCAAGACGTAGCAACTGTTTTGGAACAAGGACAATTTATTTTGGGAATGAAGTGGAATTCCAACTCTACACATGTATTATCTACGATAATCGGTACAACAGTTTCTGCATCGGAACTGGAGTTAGATAACTTCACGACAAAGGTATTGGGTCTCTACTGGGATCCGGTCAGTGACGAACTCTTCTTCAAGGTAAGCATGGTTGACGACACCTCAATGCATACTAAACAAAGGGTTTTGAGTGACGTGGCGAAATTATACAATCCAACTGGGGTAATAGCACCTGTAGTCGTGTTGGCCAAACTTTTCCTACAGGACTTATGGAAGGCTGGTCTGTCATGGGATGCCGAACTCCCAGCAGAGCTGCTCAATATATGGTTAATATTTCGCAATAGCTTGCAAGATATTGCACGGCTTCGTATTCCTCGTTTGCTGGGTATACGAGTGGGCTCTTTGGTGCATTTACATGGCTTTTGCTAGTAGTAAAGCATATGCAGCAGTTATATATGTTCAAACCATCGATAACAGCGGTACGTCACGCACGGTTCTTGTTTCAGCGAATACGAAGATAGCACCAATTAAGGATGTGACTATACCGCGCCTCGAACTGTGTGATGCTCATCTTCTAACCAAGGCGCTGAACAACGTACGTAAGGCTGTAGATTTACAGGACGCCCCATGTACGTATTGGAGCGATTCCACTATTGTTTTATGCTGGATCCGCAAAACTCCATCCACGTTTAAGCAATACGTGTCCAATCGTGTAGCTTACAGCCAAGCCAATTAAGATATTAATGCTTGGAAACACATTCGCTCGGAATCGAATCCAGCCGACTGTGCAAGCAGGGGCCTATCTCCTGCTCCCTTAGCACCATCACCTTTGGTGGACGGGACCGACGTGCATATACCGAGGTGTGGGCTGCACAATGAGCCTACCCACTTTGACGAAAGAGGAAGAACAACTCTCCATAGCATGATTACCAGTAGATTATGGCATCCACGAAAGACAAGCGGATACCTCTCGTAGTGAAATTTATCAAATTGAGTCGTTTACTCAACACCACTGTTTAGTTAAGGCGATGGTTACCGGGACGATGTAGTTTCTGTCAAAGAGCTGCACTGGGCGTTACTTCTGCAGGTTCGACAAGCACAATTTAATAATTTTAAACACGAAACTAAATCGCTTGCATTGCATTCTAGGATAGTGGGTCGTAGTCAAATCATAGCACTCAATCCCTTCTATATTTGTATGGCTTCATGAGCGGTACATATTGAGCTGGCAGAGGACTTGAGTACACAGGCATTTATAGATGTTTTCGATCGTTTCATTACTCGAAGAGGTATGTGTATGCACCACTTTATACAGTGATAATTGGACTAGAGCGGAACCCAATGTTCAGCGTGGTGACGTCGTTCTTATACGTGGTGAAAATCTACCAACGGTTTGGCGTATGGGACGGGTGATTGACGTTCACCCTGGCAGTGATGGCCTGGTACGAACCGTGACGATAAAGTGCAATGCAAACCAGAGATCATCAGATGGAGTTTCTATTAAACAGCGGTGTCAGCGACCGGAGCAAAAATTATGCCGCCTAACAGGTCCCGCTGAAGAATTACTGAACCGCGAGGGTTCAGCCGGGCAGGATGTTCAAGATTTAAGTACATTAGAATGCAGTCCTGTGCATAATTAGCAAGGACCCAAACCAATACCAGTCAGCTGATAGCTGAATGCTGAGCATAATTGTGTCCTCCTTTTAGCATTGCTTGCATTCTACTATGTATGTACATATGTATCATATCGCGTGATGCTATATCCAGTATATTTAAGAAGAAATTCAATAAAGAAGCAACCTATTCCGTAACAGACTGTTGTAAGATCAAGACGACTTCTTTTATTTGGTGGAAATTAACATAAATTTTATACAGATACACTATTCAGTCTTGCAAATTTGTCAAAGTATCACATTCTGCGTGAATTTCTGGCAACACTTGCAACAGCATCACGTTCTACTGTCACTTTTTGCACGCAATTTATGCAAATAATCGGCTACACTAAATTTTTGTCTGCACATCAGTAGAGTATCAGCAAATATGCAACACAATTGCTGTACGGCTGCAATTTTTACGTAGCACGAACGCACCAAAAACACGCACTCTCATTTTCATTGAGATAACTCACATATTGGCGGTATAAATTATATATTATATAATATTCGATTCAAAATCAGCGAGAAGCACGGGGGTTCACATATTCGGTATCTGTGGGCTTGAAAAGTTATAGTATAATTTCGAAAATTTTTAGACATGAGATGGAATACCTAAAAGGCACTATTCTTGCAACGTTTTATTACATTAACGTCATTGACTCTCGATTTATAATTTCGTTCATTTTGACACCGTAATTTAGGAATGTCAAAATTATCTCACACACCAAATCTGGTTAAAATTGGTTGAGTAGTTTCTGTGCTATAAGATTTCGTAAGCGGCGACAATATTAATACTGGCTCCTATGAGCCATTTGTATTCGGATGTGAAATTTAATGATTCTAGCGTTTTTATTTATTGAGTTATTGCACTTCTAGTTTTCAGCATAACCGTTATATGGAAAGTAGACGGAGTTACCAAACATCATTTTCACTGTGTTTACTGTGAATTTGGCTAGTAAAATTTTAGTGGTTTGTGAGATATGTACATTAAACTTAATAGGGGGTGGGGCCATGGCTACCTTTAAACAAGCTTCAAACCAGAGATGCTCCTTCCTACTCCGGTTCACAGTACCAAATAACAATTTTATATATTAATTTTTGGCTTAGTTATGACATTTTATAGGTTTTACATTAACGGCATTTTATGGGTGTGGCCGGAGTTCAAATGCTCCCATCTACAATAGTTATGGTGTCGTGTATTAAGTTTAATCGAGATATCTTAATTTTTACATATGTTACAACTTGCACCGATCATTTATATACTAACTTCTATCTTTTATACATATTTTCTCTGCAAAATGAACTGGCATGACATTTAACACAGGAATAAATGATTTTATTTACTCACCTCATTATATCTGAACCGGAAAAGTGTGCAAAGGTTGACAGGTAAGAGGTCAATCTATGGTGGCTCAGCCATTGCGCAACTTGGCTTGGAGAGGATTCTGGTAAAATGTTGATTGCCTATAAAATTTAGTTGATGAAGTTATGCTATCAACTTTAAATCCATCAGTATGCTTACGTAGTCATCCATGTCTGGCGTGACCGACTGCTGAGGCGACACCATGTTAGCTTCCATTAGTTTCAGCGTTGGCGAATTCGTTGAAGTAACACTATTTATGGCTATGGGACTGGAGTTGGTAACAGCTGATCCGCCAGTGTACGGCAATATGCCATCGTACTTGGGAAGGTGTACCGGTGAATTGGGCCAAATCTTCATACTAGGTTAAAAATGAAAAAGAGCAAAAGAATATACATATGTCACTGAATCAATTTGACCAATAGTTTCGGTATTTATATTTATTTATGGTTACACGAAAATATATATAAGTAGAGTAGAGATACATTAAATATTTTAAAAACAATACAATCAATAAATTACGCTTCTTTATTAAAATATCTGAACATCCCGATCATAAATCAAAAACTGCAACTACTGAAAGCATTTGTCATATAGCTTTTGAAACGTTTTGATGTTTTAATTTTAGTAGAAAAGCAGTCCCCGACTAGTTTTTTATGTAACGCCAATTCTATTCCTTCATTTTACATCACTCTTATTCCAATATATTTAGCTAATCCAAAAATTTGTCGTTGTATTTAGTTTTTCCACGGTAGGGGATATCTTATGCATTAAACAGATTGAAGACGACAGACGACAGGCAGGATGTGTCAAATATTAAAAAACACATGTTCTTGTGGGCACAGTTATTTAGAAAACAAAAAGATATTACAGCAGCATGGTTTGCATTTATTGTTGTCGCTAAATTAAAATTATTTATAATTTTGCCAATGACAAGGGGTAACTGTAGTGGTGCCACTAATATGTGAACGCTAAAATTATTCGAAGCTGTTACATTGATAATTTAAAACAAATTAATCGACTTTCTTACTTATTTTTTGCACAAAAAAATTCCCTTTGAACAAAATATTTAAATTTCAGTGAAGTGAAAGGTTTTAGTACGGTAATAACGAAATTGTGTACATCAGCTGTTTGATATGTCGTTGTCTTTAAAATGTTCAAGAAGCTGGCTTCTAGACGCCATTTGCAGACAATGAAATTTCGCTGTCGCTACGTCGTGTATTGCAGTCGTCTTTGTGTTTAGAGCATTAGTTTGAAGGTTTTTAATGTCAAGTTATTTGCCTTTCCACATTTAAAGAATATTAATTCTAAATAAAACAAATTTTAGTATTATTTAAAATAACCTAACGTATTGTACTATGTAATTTATTGTAATATTAAACGTCAGAATTTGAAAATCAAAATGTTTCTTTGTTGGAAAAAATTTCAACTGTTTGTTGAAAATAACAATTTCTAAAATTCAAGATATTAGGGGAAATTCATTTAGATCCTGAATTGTCTGAAGCTGCTTTTATTATTGAAACTGAACATCTTACAAAACATTTTTGGGCAAATGCGTATGTACAAGTACATATGTATTACATAACATGGCATACAAATAATAAACTAAAAGATTTTAGCTGTAGCAAGCATTAAAATTTTGAGCTCATACATACATACCACAGGCTATATCGAGCGAGCGACCAATTCTTCAGTAATATTATTAACAAAAACAACGATGTCTGTTTAGCGAACTATCAAACACGGCGTAACAACTTTGTTTTTGAGCTTAACAATTCTACGCATTCAGTAAAGTTGTGTGGAGCTGTGTGGAAATCCTTTGACGTAGAGTACATGATCGACGAAACGTATCGGACCATTCAGGTTTTTTCGTCTACCGCCTACCCTGTGAATTATTTTTGTGTACTTATCTAAGACTATCGACACAAAAACGCTCTATCTTAACTGAAGTCTTCGCCAATACTCGAATCTAGGCTAATTTAGCTCTCGTTCGTAAAGTAGATTTTATAGCACAAAAAATACCAATATGTCGTTGGGATTAAAGTCTTTCTTTGCTTTCTTTTTTACTGTAATGTCGCGCTTGCGCTTGAGGCTTGCTAACACTCCCGATCACATTCAAACTCGAATACTTACTAAACACGATACCGATACCGGAGCTCCTACGCAACAGTCTTAAATATATTGCAAAAAGTTAAGTTTTGCAAATGCACCATGTAGTGGTGAGATGGAATTTGTTGGCCGGTATTATCAACGCACGTATTGGTGCACAGAGAATATTCAGTACTGGTTCAGCTCTGTGTTTGCACTTGTATTTGTGCATTCAATTGAGAAAGTCTTCTGCACTCTTTGTCGGAGTCAGAGTCGACGTGGAGTTCGCTACCGCTAGAGTCTGTTGTCAGACTTTAAAAAATTTGCAAAATAACACATACAAATTTTGAGAAACGATGACAGATATGTCAAGCATCAACATGTGTATGTGAATGTTTAGTCATATGTTTGTTTGTTATACATATGTAGATATCATATGTATGACCATACATACACCCATGTGTAGGAATAGCGAAAAATTTCAGTTGCAATGACAAAACCGGTTGTGTTTGTTTCTGTAAATGAGTAAAGATTGATAAAGTTTAGCACACATATACATACTTACATATATTAACCCAATACTTGTGAGGGCACTACATTCAAATTCCGGAATCTAGAAATACACCGATGAGAATCTACGGTATGATATGGACGACATACTTCAATATCATAATGAAATTGGCTAAAAGAAGTCGTTATCACCCCGTCGAAACTTTAACTTTAACACACACAGCACACTGCTGCCGTTTCTGTTTAATTAACTCGATCTGTGTGCAATAAGTCTTAAGTATTGTGTGATACGAATGTAACACTGAATTAATTCATACGGGTCCGTACGCATGTGTGCAAAAAAAAAAAAAAAAAGCACGAATGTGCTCTAAAATAGCATTTTTGGGAAAGAAGTAAAGTGAAAACTCTTCCTCAGAGAATAAAAGCAGACTTCATTCCGTGCGGAACTGAAGACTACATCCTATTAGATCGAAGAAAGCATAATATGTATATGCCATAGACCTTTGGCCAAACTTTGAGAACCTTTAGTGAGATGGTTCTTACATGGAGCCAGGAGATTGAGTAGAATATTTCCATTAATTATTGATAACGCTTTTGAAAAATGTTACCAGATTTCCACGATTAGTACTAGAAGGAGCATAGAGTCAAACCAATTAGTTTCAATTAATTTGAAGTAATTATATATTTTAATAAATGCAATGTCACTGCAGAAAGTCTCTCAAAATTACACCTAGATGGTGACTAGGGGACACTTGTTCCAAACCACCCTCCAGGAATAATGCATACTCCAAACACGCAATAGTTTTCTGATTTTTAAATTTTCATCTTTGGTTCGCAGTAGTTAAAAATTTTTGTGTCAAAATTAAAGCACCCCCTTAATAATACTAATTACTAAAATAAATCCAACTGGAAATATTTGAACGAGGTTTGCAAAAAGTATAGACTGTTCAAATCTCCCATTATAAGTGTATTAGAATGTTAAAAAGAAGGGCTAAGTTCGGGTGTAACGAAACATTTTATACTCTCGGAATCTGCAAAGATCAAAGCCGGAGAAATACTTTAAGGTGTTGGCAAAACTGTATATTAAACAAGTATGGAAGCGCTAAGTTCGGGTCCGACCGAAAAGTCGCAATTTTCAAAGCTCCAAAGTGGAAAAATAATTTCAGATATTACAAAATTTTATATAAAACAAGTAAGGAAGGGCTAAGTTCGAGCGTAACCATTTTATACTCTTGCAACTTGCAAGGATCAAAGCCGGGGAAATGTCTTTAGGTGTTGGCAAATCTTTATATTAAGAAATGTAGCAAAAAGGTTCAACTTCATTATTCGACGAAATGGTGAATGGGTTACAATTAAGTTTGGTATCATATTAACTTATTTTGAAGGTCATAGACTCTTTTAGTTTTATTACTTTATTATACCTCACATCAGCGAAAATTGGCGGCATAGAAATGGAAGGGCTGATTGCATTCATTTTTTACATTGCTCAGATATACTTGAGAATTTAATTTCAAACAATTTTATAAATATAATATATAAATTTAAACACATATGGCTTCCTCATCGTTGGTCGCCTTGCCGTGGCGAAGGGGCTTAGGTAAAAGTAATCGGTGCAACCCAAATGGGTACGCACATGCCTCTTACGAACTAAGAGGGAATCCGCATAATTGCCACAATGGGGACATGGATGAATAAACCTTCGACTTTACGCCCTTCCCCTTTGTGGAATTATTAGGACACCCGCACCTACACCACCTTAAGCCAAGGTGTCGAGGTGCCCGTGCAGATTGCTAAATGGTCAGCGGGCGGTAATAGAATAGCTGATCGTGAACGGTCCCCTCCGATGCTCGGGCGAGGTCGGAGATTTAAGCGAAGAGCAGCTTTCCAACCTACCTACCTATACACATATGGAGTAAAGTCAGCCGGACGTTTCAAAATCGTGAATATCAGTTATATGGGTGCTATGGCAAATTTTCGACCGATTTTCTTCATTTTAGGTGCACAGATACACTGATATTAGAAATACACGCTCTCTCAATTTAATTGATATTAGGTTAATGGGGACTAAGGGAAATATAGATCCGAATCAACCCGTTTTTGTTACAAAGGTATATTACAAAAAAATATTTTCCCTGAATTTCAAATATATATCTTACAGATTGACCAGTATTTTCGGTAAAAAGTCTTCCAAATGCTCTGGGGTCTACATTTCCGGTCTCTGGGGGCTTGAATAGGTATGGTCTGACATTTTTTAGACCTGAGAGGATATGCCCTAAAATCAGATGGAATTCAATGTTTAATGTTATATGAAAAGTAGGCGATGATTTTAACATGTAACATGGAAATGTTAAAATAATCTTACGCACCAAATTTGGTTGAACTTGGTTGAGTAGGTTCGGAGATATGTGATTTCACCTAAATGTGGGCACCTGCTCCTATAAAGGCCTTTTGTGCCATCCTGGATGTGAAATTTAATGTCCTTGATGCTTTTAGTTATAGATTTATCGCACTGTTAGTAGTTGATACTTTTTATACTAGATAAAAATTCATAATTTCAAATACCAAATTACTAATATTAATTGTACCGTAAATCCACTAATTGCGTACATTATGTACGATTTATTATATATAACTACTGGATATATATGTACAATATATGTATGTGTCTTACTATTCAGGGCTAAAGCAACCCGATGTTGTGGGTGGTAATACATCCAGAGGTATGTCGTTCATAATAGTGCATTCATAACTTGGCTGGAATTTGTTTTGCTCTACTTGAGGGCGCCTTTGAATTTTCTCGCGATCCTGCTTATGTTTACGATCAGCGCCTTTTAACTTGAATACCTAGAAAAATTTTAAGGACTTGGTTTTAAATAATATAAAAAATATCTTTAATTAAATCAAATTTATAAACACATTGATGCGTATAAAATATATACACATACAGACAGTTATGTGAAAAATATAATAATAAGGACAGGGATGCATAAAGACACAACTACGCCAGTTAGGGGCATCTTTTTAACACTAATTTATAAAACAAATTTCTTTGGAAAAATCCAAATTATTTATAACATTTCGTAAAAAGCCATTCAACAAAGTCAGCTTACGGTTGTGCGATTTAATTTTCAGAGATAAAGTAAGAATAATACTTTCAGGTTTATTATCAATCAGTTACAACCTGGTTTTTCTCTTTAATAAATATATATGGGCATATTAAAAATTTACTCAAACAACGAAATTCGTACAAAGAAGCAGCGAATTTCCTTTAAGCTTCCAAAAAAAATTATTGAACAAGGAGTTAAATGCGTTCCCCTGATTGGAATACGTGGCATGATGCCTAAAATAAGATTAACAGCCAAACAAATATATTTCGCTGTGTTAGTAATTTGAATATTGATGTTAACACATAAACTATTCGCAAAGTGCTTACAAAGGAAAATTTCAAGACCCGAAGCCCAAGTGCCAATGTTGCCCAAGAAGAACGTGCAATAAGGCTAAAGTTTGCTAAGGAGCATTCGGCCTTAAGAGAAATGGCGTAACATTCTCTGATCTGTCGAAAAAAAAGTACTTATTTAAATCTGATCGAGGTATTCATCAAGTAAGAAGACCGAAAATGCAGCCTACAACCATAAATACATAAAAAAGACCGTTAAACATGGTGGCAAAAACATTATGGTTTGGGTGTCGTTTTCATACAACGGTCGGGGACCGCTCCATAGGATCCAGGGCTATATGAAGGCAAACGATTATGTCGCAACAGTTCAAGAATGTATGCTGCAGTATCTGATGATAATATGCCACTAAAGTTGGTATATATTTCAGCAAGGCAAAGACTCCAAACGCACGGCTAAGAGTACAAAAGAGTGGTTTAGGCAGAGAATGTTAATAAATAGAGAAGGCGCAAATGTTAAGAAGTACTAAATTGAGCTTTTCACAAGAGGGAACATCGAAAAATACAACTTCGACTCGTTTGAAATACACCACGCAATAATCGTAACGGGAAAAGGCTATAAATAGACACAAAGAATGTTTTAAAATGAATTATGCGCATGTTGATTTACATTTGCATATAACCAAAAAATCATAATTTTTGTAATTTAAAATAATCCTTAATATATAAGACGATTATTGGTTAAAGCCCCAGAATTTACAATAAAATAAGTAATTAATAGATAAATTCTTCAAAACATTTTTGTGTGCTGCATGAACAATATCTAATGGCAAAATGGTAAAGGATAACAATAAAACAACGGCTAAGCGGCCGCGGTTTCACTTCTGCGGTGGCTCAGCGTGAAGGAGTTAATCCATTCCGAATACAAACGCTTATGGTCGAATCCTGTAAATCATAAATCTTAATTCTTATGCTGATTTTATTTTATTATTTGACATTTTAGCTGATCTCAATTCAATTACTTATATATCATATTTTACTCACTAAAATAATTAGTTTGGGTTTATTGCATATTCCCTTATTCATGTGTATTTATACAAATGTGAAAATCACACATACATTCATAAGTACACGTACGCTGATGGTTGCTTCTTCTTGCCCCGCACAAACAATGACTTTTGTTTACACTTTTATCTTTTTGCGAGAAGCAAGTCGAACGATCGCAGGCAAGGAGGGATAGGGTTATGCCAATAATTATTTCAGATATATTTTTATTAATCGAGTTCATTTAAAAAACGTTTAAATAGGTATGAATTTATGTGTATCTATATTTTTACGTAAATGTTATAATATTGCGTAACTAAGCCCTAAGATATCAGTATTTTTCTATAAAAATTAAGCAATATAATAATATGATACAAATCCTCCGTTAAAACGCCTCTGACCATGATGTCACGCCATGGAAGTAACGGCGAGTTCGCGCGGAGACGAGCGGAGCAAAAAATTGAGTTCTGATAAAACGTTGAAAAAAACCAAATGAGAACATACATACATACGAGCTTGCATACATATTGACGCCGAATGTCGGTCGGCTATGTTGTCTCGTTTTTATTTTTGCAGTGGTTTGCTATTGAAGATACCGATTGGGCTGCATATTAATAGTTCTTATTAGGTAAAATGGGCCAAATCGAAAAACTATGAAATAATGATTATAAGTAAACATACATATAAAAGTATTATATGGAGTGTGCTTAGAATATATAGAAGTAATAAAGGATTTCATATGAATGGCAATTTTATATACATTTTATAATTTAATGCCATATATAGTGAAATAAATTAATATTATTATTTTAACTCGCTATTAGGTCATGTTGCCAATTCTCCTTCTGAAGGGAACATCAGACAAATTCTTCAATTTCTGATTTTTAGCAAATGTGTAAGGAAGCAGCTTAAGGGCAACATACAAATGCGAGGGGAATGGTAGGATTTTCAGTGATACAAATTGTAAAATTGAAATTTTGCTGATTCTTCAATTTTACTGAAGCCATTCTAATTTAATTTCATGCATTTTTATTTAAACTTCATTTTCGTGCAATTGTGGTAGGAATTCCATATGAAAACCGAAAAAGAGCGCAGTGCAGAATTATAAACGATCGCACTGCGTTTTGTAGCATACGCGCGTTCCTTATAAATGAATTTTTTTGGCGTTGTAATATGAAATATTTAAAAAATACAGGGCGAGCTTGCTCGAATCTTATTGGTCGATGATGGTGCGTCTGCGATTTTTTTTATCGCTTGCACAAATGCTTAAACTTTTTACATAAGGCATATTGAGGGACATATGTACATACATGTATACATATATTTAGATATGTGAATAAAGGAAAGGCAATTTCGAGAATATTCACATTTGAAACAAGTAAAAAATGATAATGTTCACATATTCAATTATTGTTTGTGGTGCTGCTTGTATAGCACAGCTCCTTATTGCAAATTTACATTAAATATATTGCCTGAGTTCAAATCCTATCACAGATGTTGTTTTATTTCTTTTATTTCTATAAACGTTTTTTATTAAATTTATTTTAATTTAATTTTCATTTTCTCCTTATTAAATCCAAAATCTATTATTTCTTTTTGTTATTCTAATTTTCTCTTACACGCATGCCAAAGAACATCTGCGCATACATACATATATTAGCCGTTCCTTTATAAGGTGGTGACAATTTACTTGGTTCCTGCTTAGAGTGGTGTAGTTTGTTGAATTCGATTATCATGAGGGGAAGGTACCTTTTTGACGTGGTGTAATTGAACGTTCGGATTTGCGCATTCTCGATGTTCCCTTTTAACAGTTTACATTTTAGCACAACTAGCATTTCTTTCCTTCTCTATTTATTAACATTCTCTGGTTTAGGGTCAACAACATCAATGAATTGGAATGGCTTCCACAAACCCCAGATCTAAATTCCATTGAAAATTAATCGAATACAGTGAAAGCGTCAATAAGAAGAAAGTGCCAATGTAACAATGATGAGATTTGGCAACTTATCAAAATTCATGGAACGCAATTCTGGGTTTTCTAATTAGAAATTAATATTAACACAATTGAATCAAAACTAGTTTATTTCCTTTTTTTTTATATTGTAACTTTTTTAGTAAAACAAGAAGCATCCTTATTTTTTTCACATGTTAAAATCGCATTATTATTGAAAAAAATGCATATAAAATACAAAAATTTACCAAACCAGGGAAAAACTTTAAAAAAGACTTATTTCCAATTTGCTCCCAATAAATTTACTAAGTTAATTGCTTTTGTCTTTCTCACATTTCTGAATGCAAATTAACTTCATTAATTGTAGGCCACTGTCCTTATTATTTTTCACATAACTGTACAGCCCATATATACGTATACATACATATCGATAAAAATCTATTTGTTTTGTCAGGAAGCTGTCGAATTATGTCTTTATTGTTTTCTATGAACAATTATATTATACAATTTTTAAAAATTGAAAAAACTATGTATTTTGATTTTTGAGAATAATTTGTTTTTTGGGCCATTCACAATGATAAAACAGGCCTAAAAACACATAGTAGCATTGAGGATAGCGGCTACACCACTTTAATGAGGTATCCGCTTACTTGTTTGTATCAATTCAAATCGAAACTTTGTTGTTGCTTTTACATGTATTTTTTGTTTGACAAGAGAGCAGCTCGTAAAAATATCAAGCAGAGAAAGGCGAATCGATGACAGATGACAGTTGTTTGTAACTACTAAAACTAATCGAAATACATATACTATTATATGGTATATAAAAATGATCGGGGAAACGATAATACTAATTGAAAACCGGATGTCTTTCTGACCATCTCTTTATCCAACTCTCCGTGCAAGCGATAACATGATAAAAATTGAAATAATGGTACCGTGTTAATTGAAATAATGGTACCGTGTTATTTGGCACTCTAAGCAGGTTGATATTGAATATAGGTGAAATCGAGCCAGTATCTTATAAAAAAATGTTATAGTTCATATGAGGTAGGTTAGGTTAGGTTAGGTTAGGTTAGAGGGTCGATCCTAAGAAGGATCACACTTGGACAGCTTAAACGCCGGTCCGTTGTGGTACCCAAAACTCCTATGAGCCGGATCAAATGACCCTTACATGTCGACAAAGCGCTTTGTGCCTATGACAAACTTGTTGAGACGGCCAATATCTGTTTCGGCCAGATCTTCTGGTCCGCCAAAAGTGTGATTGCCGAGATGTTTCAATCTCAACCTAGCAAAAGCCGGACAATGGAGGGCCGGGATGTTTCCACTTCACCCTCCTCCATGCAGCTTTGACAACTGCCATCGGGTAGTATTCTAAGCCGCACCGCATGAGTTCCCATTGGACAGTGCCCAGTGAGAACTCCTACCATGGCGGCGAGGTGAACTTTGTTCAAGGCGAGAAGATCCCCCGACCTCCTGCGATCCACTCTCGGCCAGAAGGACCGCGCAGTCGCGCAGGAGCTGGTCGTCGACCAGCGTCTGCTGAGCGCATCCGAGGTCCATTGGTCCAGAGCCAGAATGCAAGACGTTAGTGGAGAACCAACTCGATCTCATTTCGATGTGAGCGGGGCAAGGGTGCCCCCCCTGGCCAGCTCATCGGCCTTGCAATTCCCAGCGATTCCGCTGTGACCAGGCACCCAAACCATCCTGATATTGAAGTAGCCTGATACTAATTCTAGCGAGGACAGACACTCCTTGACTAGCTTTGAATGCACGGTTCGCGCACTCAGGGCTTGTATTGCCGCTCTGCTGTCGGAGTGAATGCTCACCTCTCTAAACGAAGCTACACTACGTAACAGTACTTCTACCGTCACCTTGATCGCGGCCACTTCCGCCTGAAAAACGCTACAGTGGTCCGGTAGCCTGAAGCAAAGATTGACGGAGAGCTCTTTACAGAAAACCCCCCCTTCAACTTTCCCTCCTAGCTTCGACTCATCCGTGAAAAAGCTCAACGCGTCTCTTCTCCAGCGGCTTCTTCCCCTTCACATCTCCCTCGTCGGGATATGAGCAGAGAAAAAGCCGCCTCGAGTGGCCGCTGTGACGCAGTGATCCAAATTTTCAGGAATGCAGGTGAAGGAGGAGAGAATTGCGGCGTGTCCTTGTTCGGACCTCTTTAAAAGCCCAGCTTCTCTGAGCCTAATAGCACACCTCGCAGCAATGCACCTACCGGCAATGTCCACAGGTGCTATATTTAATATAGCGTTGAGAGCTATCGTTGGTGTGGTTCGCAGTGCACCGGATCATTCATTCATATGAGGTAAGAGTTAATTGATTTATGTATGTATTGTACATATGTAAACATTTCGAGTGCAAAAATAGTAGTAATGTAAATTGAAATTGCTCCTCAGTTATGTATTTTTTTAGAATAATTTTTATTTAAAATATAGTTTAATAAAATCAATTCTTGTTAAACGTACTGTAGTCAAGTTTCTTCGCATTCTCAAAGTACCGTCACAGGCAAAGTTAAAAGGATTTAAGCGCTGAAATTGTATGATTATGAGTACAACTCAGTTACCATTTACATCTTGTAACGCTGAGCCCACCGAAAAAAGATATTTCATATCTCACAAGCTGCATGAGATGGATTCGTAACATTTTTCTCACGTCATCGGTTTAGATCTTTATCCTCCTTATAGACCAGGGTAGATAACTTATAATTATTATCCTCCTTGTAGACCAGGGTAGATAATTTATTATTATATAATTATTATTAAAATTATTATTATTATTAAAATTAATTAATATTTGTTATTTTATTTTTCGTTTCCGATGAGTTTCAACCTATTATGAATTTCTTTATGGTTCTAGGTCAGGCTAAATTGTAGACATAAATATGTAATCGTGTGCATATGTTATCGTATATTATATTATTAATAAGTATACATATTAAAGCGTACGATATATGTGAAGTATAAGAAATTAAAACTATAACCACAAACCTTGATTTGGCAAGCTGCTGCATGAACGGGTTGCTTGCCATTTACGAGCGAGTGGTTGTTCCCCGATGGTATATTAATTCCGGCCGGGATAGGTGCTGATGCTATCCCGCCTGATACCGAAGTAGATGCAATTGATAAAGCACCAGCCGATATTGCTGATGCTGTTGTTCCTCCGGTAGGGTTGGTTGATTCTATATAAGTTTCAATTTGTAATCGAAATGGCACTCCTTTTTCTCCTCCATGTTTTTTGGGGGTAAACTCAGTTGAAATGCAGTTCACTTTAACGTAAACTCCTACTTCCTTCAAAGGATCCCAGAAAATTTCGACAGTATTCAAGAAGTTCGGATTTAACGGTTGTGATACATGACATAGTCCATATGACAGTGGAACGTCTACTTCAATAATTCGTTCCCCAGGGCGTGAAGCTTGCCACTGTTGCATTTGTTCACGTTCCATAAATTGTAGGCGACGCTCATGGAAGCAGATTTTGATAACACTCTATAACAAAAAAATAAAAATTGGCAATGATATATATATTCCTAGATATTTGAGCTTATTTATAATAAAAAATTAACACTCTCAGTTTATGCCGAATATATCTATTTCGATAGGATAGAGAGAATTCAATAAATGAATCATTAGGCAATTAGATGAAATAGTCTTATTTTTTATTTGACAGATTTTATTCAGGATAAATGTAGTAATGCTGTTTCCCATATATAATATTATTTTCCAAATATAACTTATGTACGCATTATGGGTACGTATCTCCAAAAGTTGTGGAGGAACCTATTGCTCCACAGTACTAGTATTATAACTAGGCATATTGATAATGCGACGGTGCTGATGTCAAAGGATCCACGTTATGATGGAAAATAAATAAAATATGAAAAGCAAGCATTTTTAATTGAGAAATTAAGAGAAATTCAGCAATTTAACTACTAATCCGTCGTAATTTTCCCAAAAAACCCTGTTATGTTCAATGGAACCAAAATGTCATTAAAGGAAGCACGAATAGGTATTGACTTCTTAAAATTGTAATGTTTACATAGGGGCTTCTATTTTCCAGTACAAAACTGGACTCGAAAGCAAATAGCTTAGAAATAATATATTCGGGATAAAAAAAGCAATAATGAGCACTAAGGGAATATTGGTATGGAGTAGTGCTAGAATTCCGAATCTGCGAAAAGCTCAGGCAAAGCTGTATATTTTTAAATCGAGTTTTTTTGTAAAAATAATAATGTTTATTATATTTCCACGTTTCATAACTTGTATTAATGAAAAAATAATAATATGGACCTACTTTTTTTATAGTGTATATATGGATATATACATATATATGTATAAGTATGTATATGTATGTGCCGCGGATATAGTTACATTCCTATGTGATTCCAAAATTTTTTTGTTCAGGATGTAAATTCTTCCAAAGAAAATTACTGAGATATTTTATATAAGTTGTACAAATTAACACACTTTTGTATATTTATGTACCTATAATGATAATCGCGCACTTCTAAGAGCAAGTGAGTGTAATCAGCTTAACGTTTTAGCGTCAGTCAATTTTTTCAAAAAATTACTTAAAAATTGCATCATACAGCTTAGATCTATTACGAGTATATAATAAAGCAAATTAAAATGTACACCTAAACAAAAAATATCTATGTATGTACATATTACTTTCATACATATGTGTACATATACAGAGTAATAGTATATACACAAAAGTGTTATATGTTATTATGCATGATTGCGTCAATTGTAAGAGTAGGTACTATCTACCCCCCAGCGCTGTCTGTAGGCCGACCACTTATGATCTTAAAGTACAGTTAGATAGTTGTCATCAAAACACGACACCGCATCATTCTGTTTCTCAATCAATCTGAGCAAAAAATCAGCAAATATTCAGCATAGTTATGTATGAAATCAGTCTACTCGCCAAGCTCCGCGGACGATAAATATCTGTCGCCTACATATTGTACAGCACATATTTAAGCTCTGCATACTTACATGTGCGAATATGTCCGTCTACTTTTGTCGCAATTTGTTTTAATTGAAGCATATTAAAATCAATTTAGTTGAATAAATTCCAATAAAGTGAATATGAGTACTGAATGTACAAATACATATGCACAACTAGAAATGACACTATGGTATATAACTACCACGTACGTATTGAAGTATGAGTATGCAAATATTGTAAATATGTAAGCGAAAGTACTCAAAGCACTATATCCACAAAATAATATTTTTAGGTATTTTCGTAGTATATATTGGTGTAGATATTTGTAATTGTATAATATATAAGTACGTATGTATGTATGATGTGGAATTACATTGTTTAATTTAAAACCAAATTTTTCATTCTTCTTTTTTACGGTTAGTAAATAACTTCCCTTGCATGCTAAATATCTTTTAAACATTCTAACGTACCTTCAATATTTTATCACGATAAAACGATAAATCACCGATCTTCTTAAGCTTGATTTCATAGCTTTGTCCCTGGTTCAGATAGGTAAGCGTCTCTTCATTATTCTTGGTGGCTATTGAGGTAGCAGCTGCCAAAATGTACTGAAATCTGAAAATTACGAAAATAGTTTCAATAATTCGAATCTATACTTCTTTAAATCTTACTTATGGTCATCAGAGTGCGCGTTGGTATTATTTCCATTAGCGGCACCTCCACCAGTACTGTTCTCAATTTTGCTCCCATCGACTTCGGTCAGTTGTTGGGACGCTGAGTTTCCTTGTGCTGAAAAGGTTGCCAAATAAAGAATATTGTTGTATTTGAAAGTACACGTACAAGACATATGTATTTCTACGCATGTATGTATATACATATATGTGATATGTCATACTTTACCAATTATTTTTTCGCCGCCACTGTAAGGTGAGCCAACATTACCAAATGCATTGGATGCTCCCGCGTTGGACTTGTCAATTTTGTTTCCGTTGTGTTCGATTTCCTGTGGTGTGCCGGTTTTTGGCGAACCACATACGCAGAGAATGTCGTTCAAGGCATTCTTAGGTGTGTCCTCGATTGTTGGTGCCGTTTCTATATGTGATGGTGGCTTATCGAGTTTTGGCACGCTTCCACCACTGCCAGTTACGACAGGATGAGTATTCAATGGACATTTATTAGCCTTTAACTGATCGGCTTGCGGCTCCTGTTTTAATACTGTCAGGGCCGGGGAGAATGATAAAAAGGATTCACTGTTGATAAGTCGAATAATTTATTAATACATAACAAGTAAGGAAAAGCTAAGTTCGCATATAACCGAATATTTTATACTCTCGCAACTTGCAAGAAGGGCCGGGGAAAATTCTTTTCGAATTTCAATAATATATTTGATAGGTTGACCGATATTTTTTGCAAAAAGTTCGCAATAGGAACCCGCGCCACATATTCGGTATCTGGGAGCTTAAATAATTTTGGTCCGACTTGAGCAATTTTTATCATAAGGTGGCACACCTCAAAGTATTTGTATACTGGAACATGAAAGAATCAAATGTAATTAAATTGTGTTATACGGGAAGTAGGCGTGGATTTTGTCTGATTTCGCCCGTTTTTGCACTGTAATGTTGGAATGTCAGGATAATGTTACTTACAAAATCGTTCGAGTAGTTCCCGAGATAGAGGTTTTCACCTAAAGGTGGCCGGTGCCACGCCCATCGAAGAAATTTGATATCGCCTCCTATAACGCCATTTTGTATCATCTCAGGTGTAAAACAGTATGTCTCTGGCACATTTAGTTATAGATTTATCGCTCTTTTACCAGTTTTTAACAAAACCGCTATATGGGGAGGGGGCAGGGCTATTATCCGAATTCTACAATTTTCAGAGGTTTGGTGAATGATTTAGAAGATACATAAGTACATTAAAATTATGAAAGGGCCGAGCCTCGCCTACTTAAAAAAAATTTTATCAACCATGGTTCCCCTCTCTAATGCAATTCGTTGTACCAAATTACAGTCCTGTATCTTATTGTGGAGATTAGTTGTGGCACTTAATATGTTTTATGTCAAGGACGTCTGTACAAGATCAAGATATCTCAATTTTTACTCAAACTAGCGCTTGTACAGACGGACGGACGGACAGACAGACACTCACTTGGGATTCCACTCGTCTCATCATCCTGATCATTTATATACATATGTAACTTTATATCTATTTCGATTAGTTTATTATACTCTGTAGAGACATGTTGCAAGAGTATAAAAATGTATACTATGACTACATTTGACATAACTTCTCTATGTCACTCACTTGCTGAGATAAGAATTACTATTGAAGTCTGTATTCAAATCAAATCCAATATCTTCAGTCCAACTGCCGCGAACTGCAAATATGTAGAAAAATTAATATTTACGCACAATCACACTCGTTAACATAAATTTCTAGTCATTAGCCAGACAGATTATTCGTAATAATTTCGTGAAGTTTTCCACAAGCATCCCAATCTATATTTATAGTATACATAGTTAATACATATGGCTCATTCCATCCAAAATTTACATAGAAAAAATTTTATCGTGCAAAACATTTTTTTTTTTGTTCTTTGGGGCAAAATATTGCACACGTATTATTTTTATTTCCACGCAATTTTAAAAATTTTGGAGTTATGAATTTTCAAAACTCCAACGTTCTGAAAAAAGTTCCTATAAATATTTGCGTATCGAAGAAAAATATTTTATTATAAAAATATCTAGCCGGCCTAAGTTTACGATTTTTTCTCAGCTTTCCAATGAGATATAAGTTAGATTTATTTGACTTTTTTATAAACAAAAGTTACATTTTTATAAAAAAAAAAATAATTTTATTTTCAATTTAAAACTTTTTTATTCAGTTTTTTTGGAAAAATTTAAATTTTTTTAAAATTCATAACTCCAAATTTTTTCAAATTGTGTCGAAATAAAAAAATACAAGTACAATATTTTGCTTCAGAGAACACAAAAAAATATTTTTTAATGTCAACTTACGTTTTGGATTCGACATGAATTTGGTTGGTGGTGGTGGTATATTAAAGAGGTGGAGATATATTAAAGAGGTCTCCACCGTTTGAATAATTTCGAATTAAATATTTTAATATATATAATACTTTTGGCTGAACATTGAAAGCTCTTACTAAGAGTTTATCTGCAATCAAATGGCTGATGGATTTTAAGGTATACATACAACATTTTTTTAATTACGTGTTAACGTATATATTAATAATATAATAATTATTATCCTGACATTTTCATCGAAAAATTCGAAATCAAGTTTTTTATTGATAACGATTCACTACATCATTTTTCAAATAGCATGTACAAAATTTTGAGGTTTAGCACCAGATAAAACCAAAATTTAAATTTTGTTTCAATTAGAGTACTTTCTAGGTTTATGGTTTTTTTCTTCTTCTTTACAATTATGAAAAGTGATGCTACGTTATTTTCAATTTTAAGTGACCTTATGTAGCTATGATGGATCCAAATATCATTTCGGAAAAGTTTTTATTATTAGCCATTAAAGTGAAAACTAAATTTACTCGGTTACTTAAAATTTTATATACTTCTTTACTTACCAGAAGCATGAACGAGGTTACAGCAAATAACATTCGAATAGTAAATATCTATTTATCTGACGGTATGAAAAAACCCTTGTGTTTCAAAGACCATAAATTTTGATTTCAAATTTGAGCTCAGCGGAACCAACAGCTACGTAATATACAACACATAATATTGGTTATTGTACAAGTATAATGCTATTATTGTTGGCAGTGTTAGGCCAGCGAAAGTACCTTCATAATTCAAGATCAAATTTCTGCTACCGCAAGATTAGTAAATAATAAGCACCTGATAATACGTGTATGTATATATGGGCAAGCATTTGTGTGGGAAATCGGCTATTTTGTGTCTACTAAATTGAACTATTGAAACTCCCAAAAAACCCTTCATTCGTTTTTTTGACTTTTCCATACATTTACAGATTTTCGAGCTCATAACAAAAGTTCTATAAACATGCTAGCATACTAGTTACATTACTTATCATTTAGGTGTGAATTAGTAAAGCAAACAACATTTGATATTTTTTATTTATTTGATGGGAATGCATTATTTTGCAATTGTTGATAACCGTTACATTCATAATATATTTAACATTGCAAAAAGTAATTTTATTTATTTAACTCAAATAGCGAAACAGTAACGACATTTATTTTATTTTAGGAACATAACAAGTAACGGAAGGCTAAGTTCGGATGTAACCGAACATTTTATACTCTCGCAAAGTCAAATGGTATACTCGTTAGAGAAAAAAAATGAATACTCACAGACCGACATATTCGACATAAAACTGGTTAGAATAAGAGAAAAGAATTATAAGTAGAATATGGAAGTTGAGGGTAGTATTAACCTGATTTTATTAATTTTTGCCAATACCACATACTACTTACATACCATCTCCTCCATATGAGTTTTGGTTAGACTTAGACAATATTTGTCACAAGGTGGCACTCTTTAAACACATTATTCAATCAAAGTTTTACCCCGATACAATCATTGTTGCTTGATTTGCATAGTGGAAAGTGAAAGAATCAGATAGAATTTAAATGGTGTTATATGGGAAATAGGCGTGGTTGTAATCCGATTTCGCACTATACCATAGAAATAAATATGAAGACAATGTTGGGTACCGAATTCCTTTGAAATCGGTTAAGCAGATCCCTAGATATAGGTTTTCACCTAAAAGTGGGCGGTGCCATGCCCCTTGTCTAATTTTGAACGCGGTTCCCATAAAGTTATCTCATACCATTCCAGAGATAAAATTTAATGTCTCTGGCGTGTTTCGTGCTTGATTTATCACGCTTTTAGTAATTTTTAACAGGACCATTATAAAGGGAGTGGACGGGGTTGTCGCTCGATTTCACCCATTTTCGATGAAGTACTAAAAACACGTTCTCAGTGAATTTTGTAATTATGTCTTTCGCAGTTTAGGAGATATGCACATTAAACCTATCAGGGGCGTGACCACGCCCACTTGTTAAACAAATTATAACTGAAGATGCCCCTCCCTTATGTGATCCTGTATACCAAATAACAGTATTGTATCTTATTGTGGAGCTTAGTTATGGCAATTTATTTGTTTTTGATTAATGGCGTTTTGTGGGCGTGGCAGCGAGTAACAGCTTGCAAAGACGGACGGACGGACAGACAATCACCCGGATCTCAACTCGTCTCTTCATCTTGATCATATATATATATATAATTCTATATCTAACTCGATTAATTTTAGGTGATACAAACAACCGTTAGGTGAACAAAACTATTTACTGAAATGAGATATATGTGATATAAGCTCATCCTAAAGGGGCTGAAACCAATATTGTGAGTATATACCAATTTGATTTATATTCAGTGTTAAACCACATTATGTTGAGTAAAACGTGTTACATAATTTCATTTAAACATCACACATATTGACTAACACAAAGAGTTTAAAGCTGGAAAGTCTGAAATTACTATATCAGGTAGATTGGGGCTAGAGGAAGAGGTAGACAGATTGCATAAATTTTTGGCAATACACAGGTATACTCGAAAACATGGTAATAATTGAAGGAAGATAACTCACATTAATTTGTAGACCGATTTCACACATTTCGTCATTAAACTATGGTATATCCTGAGATAAGATATCTGATATATTGACCGATAGATGTGGGTAGAAATTATTTGATTAATTCGGCAATAAGTCAACTATAAGCGCTGAGGTCCACATATTTAGTATCTGGGAGCTAGAAAAGTTGTGATCCGACTTCGACATTTTTAGGCCTAAGATTTATTACCTTAAGTCACTATTTGGGCAAAGGTTCATCACGATATCTTCATTGGTATTTGATTTGTAAGTAAAAGTTGTAGTCCGATTGTGCCGTTTTTACACTGTAATATAAGGATGTCTGGATGTTATGTACTGAATTTGGTTGAAATTGGTCGAGTCGTTTCAGAGATGTAGAATTTCACCTGAAAGTAGGCGGTGCCACACCCATTGTCCAATGTTGACATCGACTACTATAAAGTCCTTCCGTCGCATTTTGGCTGCGAAAGTTACTACTACTGGTGTATTTATTTAGTGAGTTATCGCTCTTTTAATAATTTTTAACATAATCGATATATGGGGATTTTCACACTGTTTAAAGACGCGGCGAAAGGCGAAATTTCAATTTACTCAAGTTAACACTTGCATAGACGGAAGCAGCGACAGTTAACCGGAATTCAATATAATACCTATATTTCACATAACTTAATATCTACCCCTGTTACTATCATGGCTTACAATCAATTATTACATGAACAAGACTATTATATTCTGTATCATAGTAGGTATTTAGTACACATTGAAGCAATTGCAATGTTTGCTAAACTAAAATTTAGGAATTACTAAAATACTTTGTCATTTGATATGCTGTTCTATTATTAAAATACGGGATGAACGGAATATTTACAATGTTCCACAGCAACATACATATGTATATGAAAGGACATTGCGATGAGGTTCTAACTAAGAAGTAATGAGCAATAACATCGCAATACTAATTTCTATTTCCTGAGGGATATATATTCGTTACAGTAAGCAAAATAGAATGAGAGGCTCACTGAAATGGCTTGTGCTTGAACAACAAAATGGATCCATACCACCACCTAACATAATACTGGTTTTAATGCATTCTTTCAGATATTTCTTTCTTAGTTTCTATTTTTATTTTATTATTGTTAACCATGCATTATTCAAACTATATTTAGTGAATATACCTGCACACTTCCATTAATGTAATAGTACAGTATAAGTATAGTCTAATTATTTCAGCAATAATGAGTGGTGAAAATTGTAATTGAAAATTTATCTATTTGTCATCACTAAGTAGAATTTTGTCAGCCTGTACACAGCCTGTCATACGAAGTTCATTTGCTATTTTCGGTTATAATATGCACTATTTAATAGACTAATTGTATTTTTTGATCGGTAAAAAAGATACAATTATTAATTTTCTAATGTATACAAGTAATATTAAATTAAAAAAATATCCATTTTTCTCAACGTTTTATTAAAAATCTTTTCCATTACCGACTCCCCACTTTTAAGAAATTTTAGATTGGTCAATATTTTACTTTAGAACTCGGATTAATTATTTAATACCAGTGCCAGATTGCAAATGAAAAAATACTCAACAACACATGAATCGTCTGTTTAATCTTTTTCTTTGTGCAATCAGTTTATCCACTTTATTAACATAATATCATACCACATAAATCTGTCTGATACCAAGAGTATATGCGATTAGTGTTGTTATTGTTGGTAAATGCATTATTCTGCATTTATATATGTTATTGCTTATAGCCAACAAGAGTTCCAAGTCAGTTAAAAACAGGCTTTAATCCAGTATAACAGAGTAAATTTCCAACAAAATAACACTGACACAAGAGCATCTATGAGTTTAAAATGTATGTATATTTGTAAATATTCCACGTGCTATAACACAACTCTTGATTCTGCTGGTCATATAAAAACTGAGCGTACTTTGGTCGTTTTGTAGAAGATTCAAATTTAATCAATTGTAGATAATAGAAAATCTGTAATCTGGCCCTCTTTTGACACTGCTCTGAGAATAATAATATTTACATTACGTTACAAAAATCAGGGAAGTAGATTTGATTATATTAATACTCACAATGTTACAATATGCCTTAATAACAGAAACAAATAACATACTGCTCAAATCTCAATAGGAAAATAAGTAAAACATTTGAATTTCCAACATATGAAGGTTGTATACAAAACATTTGGAACTACTCAACTCTAAACTATGTATACATCAGACTCCAAATTATTTGAGGTATTAAAAGTGGTTCATGATAAGAAAACGCTGAATCTTACTTACTTAAATCGGATTTATATTCTTCTGTGGAATATCTTAAAAATCATATACATATATATTATAACTATTGTTCGATTTCGACTAATTTAAATAATGCTTTATATCGATAAAATCTTTGGTATTTGCTTTATACAATATTTTAAGGTGTAAAAATCAGATGTATTTAATGATAGAATATATATATAGGATGTGGGCGGTTGGAATCCAATTTCACCCATTTTAAAACTGGAAAATAAATATCTCAAGGTTACATTATGCATCAAATTTGGTTCAGATTCGTCGAGCAGTTCCTGCGGTATGTGATTTCACCTAAAAGTGAGCGGTTCATCAATTTTAACACCGATTCACAAATAGCCCAACCGTAATATCTGTAATGTAAAATTAAAGCCTTCTGGGAGATAGTGATTGTTAACTGATCCCTATTCACCCTATTTCGGATGACGATATGCTAGAGACCCAATTTTTTAGTAATTTTTTATGTGCATTATAAAAATAGGGGCGGAACCACGTCCACTTTTAAAATAAATATTATTCACAAAATAGTATTATGCACCAAATTTAAATGTTTAAGCTTAATCTTTGGCCTAGTTTCATTAATCCGCAATGTCAAACAAGTTTCATCATCGAATTTCAATTCGTCTCCTTATTCTAATCAATTCTATATGTACAAGGTGCAATTCAAAAGTTTCAGGACTTTTATTAAAAAACGAATATTATTTGTTTTTTTTTTTTAGAAAAATTTATTGGTCGCATTGGTAAACATTCAAAATAGTCTCCTTCCGCCTGAATACAACGTTTTGCACGTTCAAGAAGGTTATCGAATGACTTTTTTAGGTCATTTGTCGGTATAGCGTTCAGGATGGCGGTCGTCGCCTTTTGGATGGCATCAACGTCAGCATAGCGGTTTCCTTTCATGGCCAAATGTAGTTTTCCGAATGGGTAGAAGTCGCACGGTGCCATATCAGGTGAATACGGGGAGTGGTTGATTGTTAAAATTTGATTTTTGGTCAAATAATCGGCCACATGCGTCGATCGATGAGACGGCGCATTATCGTGCAACAAACGCCAACTTCCATCTTCGCGATATTCGGGCCGAATGCGATGAATAAGTGCTACCAAACGCTTCAAAACTCCAAGGTAGAATACCGCATTAACGTTTTGGCCGGGTGGAACAAATTCTTTGTGGACAATACCCTTGGAATCATAAAAACAAATTAGCATTGTCTTCACATTTCACTTTTCCAGGCGCGATTTTTTGGGTTTCGACTCATTTCTCATTTATGTCCTCACGACCACTTTGAAAAAGTTTAAACCACTCGTGAATATGGCTACGGGATAGACAATCATCGCCATAAACTTGTTTCATCATTTAATGAGTTTTGGTAAAAGTTTTACCAAGTTTAAAACAAAACTTAATGTTGGCTCTTTGTTCGATGCTCATTATCCGACCGACACTACAAATGTAATGTCACATGTAGCGCGATATCTCAGCTGTTATGCAAGTTAGCTGTTATATAAATTTTATACGACAACACTGAAGAATACGCAATTGAGGGATAACAATTTCAGACAGATGGCGCCACTAGAAGCCACGTTGTTTAAAAAGTCCTGGAACTTTTGAATTGTACCTTGTATAACTCTATATCTAAATCAATTAGCGTTACAAAAAACCGTAAGGTAAACAAAACTATTGTAGTCTGTGCAACTTATAATTATTATATTAATTAATTACATATATAACATTTTAAAGCGAAAGTTAAGCGAATAAGTTAAATGGCAATTTTCATTGTTTCTTTGTATAAAATTGGCAAACCTTGTGACTTTTTCCTATTTTCAAAAATAAAGAGAACCTTAAAATGCTGCCGTTTAACAAGATAGATGAAAATCTCTGAAAAAGCTGAAGGCTATCCCAAAATTCGAGTTTGAGAAGTGTTTCGACGACTAGAAGAAGCGCCGACATTGTAATATCGAATGGGGACTATTTTGAAGGCGACAATATTAATGTAGAATAAAGCAGATCGCAAATCGTTTCAGATCAGTAGAAGGATATAACACGTTTATAAGAAAGCAAAGTAAAAACTGGAAAATGCTATGAAATTTCTGTAAATATTCCCTATTATCATACATGTGGCCTTGGAAATCAGTAGTCGTTATAATGGTTTAATCGCGGCGGTATACAGTCCAATATATAGGCTTAATGCTTCTGTTTTCTAATGCAAGTCATACATATGTAGGTATATGCTGACAGTATGAAAAAATGGAGTTTTATGAGAACTAGTCGACTTTGTTGTCCGATTGTATAACATAAGGGGTCTAAATTTTCACCATTTGTAATAATTTTAATCAACATACCTGTCGTTTTATCCTTTTTGACCTTGTCTTTATCGTGATGAGGAATTTTAGAAGCTAATCCTCCAGACTGTGTAGTAGTTGTGTTTCCACTTTGACCAATGTCCAATGAGTCCCAATCCATTCGTCTCTTTCGCGATCCACTGTTTGAGTAAATTGTCTGCACGTCGATTATTTGAGGTCCAGGCGATTCTTTTGTGTTCTCGTCTGAAAACGATTATTACAAGTAAGTCGTTTTAAAGTTAAAGCTCTGCCATAAAAACTTTAAATTTTATAAATAATCTTAAATTCTATTGAAAAATTTATGAGTAAATTACCCACTTATAATTTAGTTAAACCATTGTTCCATTTCAGTTTATTTTGGTAGCATTGTATGTTAAAGGTAACATTGTAATTATTACGAAAAATCGTATAAGCGTTCCACGATGCTCAAACATTTTTTAAATTAGAATAAATCTTTCAAAAAAAGCTTTTAAACTATTTATTTTTATGGAAATTTCAATAAATTATAATGAAATTGAGACAAGTGTATTTTTAGCAATCACGTACCGGTCCACGATTCCTCCGAATTGGGTGGAGAATCTACGAAAGTGATGACATAATCTGATGCTACTTGATGTTGTGAATAGCCATTCACGTAATAACGGTTTGTTTTATTTAATATCTGTCGAAAAAGTTGGTAAAAATAAAATTAAATTAAAGAAATAATGCATAATATCGTCATTTATTGAAAAAATATAAGAATAAGTAATTTTACTACTAACTTATTTTTGTAGACCAATTTATAAATAAACAGTTAAATTGTATTTAAATTTAGTGTAGTACTATTCACATAATGGTAAATATTTCTGACAGAATTTTTTATAAGCCTGTTAAGTTTGATAAAAAATTTAAGTGATTTAAAAATTTAAAAATAAGACGCCTTTTTTCAAAATAAAGCTTATTAAACATTTTTGTTGTGTTATTTAGGAATATCATTCATCTTATTCAAATAACAAAAAAAAAACAATTCCAAACAAGAAAAAAGGCTAACTTCGGCAGCAACGTCCTGAGAAATAAGATAACCAAGAAAAACTTGTACCGATGCTATAATACCCCTCATAAATACAAAGGCTCCTTACAAGAACTTGATTCCGATCGTTCAATTTGTGTGGCAGCTATATGATATAGTGATCTGATCTGAACAATTTCTGCGAATAATACATTGTTGTCTTAAACAATAACTCGTGCCGAATTTCGTGTAGATACCTCGTCAAATAAAAAGTTTTCCATGCAAGCATTTTACTCCGATCGTTTAGTTAATATGGCAGCTATATGCTATAGTCATTCGATCTATACAATTTCTTCGGATATTGGATTATTGCACTAAATAATAATCCATGCCAAATTTCGTGAAGATACCTTGTCAAATCAAAGAGTTTTCGATATAAGCACTTGATCCCGATCGTGCAGTTTGTTGACAGCTATCTGCTATAGTGGTCCGATATCGGCCGTTCTGACAAATGAGCAGCTTCTTAGTGAGAAAAGAACAGGTGCAAAATTGCAGATCGATAGCTTGAAAACTACTATACAGACAGACGGACATGGCTAAATCAACTCACCTCATCATGCTGATCATTTATGTATATATTTTACACAATCTCCGACGTTTCATTCTGGGTGTTACAAACTTCGTAACAAACTTAATATACCCTGTTCAGGGTAAAATGAGTGTTCAGTATAAGAATCGCGTTGCTTTTGCAACAAAGATCCTAATGGTCCCAAATGGATTATTTAAAACCTACAAAGTATTTAAATAGGAGTCGTATATTTGTGAAGAGGTGGTCGGACCATTAGGGAGAAACTGGAAATGTAGATGACAAGCCAGGATGAGGAGAGGAGAGAGGAATCACTTGACATCTAAAAATACAATACGCGTTAGACTTCAGAGATCTGGCATCAAACGCAGTAGTATTGTAATCAAACCTCTACTTTCAAAAACACACATTGGAGTAGGTAAGGAAGGGTTAAATTTGGATGTAACCGAACATTTTATGCTCTCGCAAAGTCAAACGGTATACTCCTTTGAGATTTCTTTATATATTTTGCTTGATTTGCATAGTGGAAAGTGAAAGAATCATATGGAATTTAAAATGGTGTTATATGAGAAATAGGCGTCGTTGCAATCCGATTTCTCCCATTTTTGCCCTGTAACATAGAAATATGAGAAGAATGTTACGTACCGAATTTGATTGAAAACGGTTAAGCAGATCCCAAGATATAGGTTTTCACCTCAAAGTGGGCGGTGCCTTCGTGCTTTTAGAACCTTTTAACAGTACCGTTATATGAGAAGTGGGCGGAGTTGTCACCCAATTTCACCCATTTCCACAGTGAATTTCGTTGTTATAGCTATCGTCATTAGGGAGATCAGTTTTTTGGGCATGGCAGTGGTCGTCCGATTATGCCCATTTGCAATACCAACCGTCTTACGGTAAGGAGAAATGATGTGTACCAAGTTTCATAAAGATATCTCAATTTCTGCTCAAGTTACAACTTGCACGGTTGGACGGTCGGACGGACAGACAGTCACCCGGATTTCAACTCGTCTCTTCATCCTGATCAGTTATATATACATAACCCTATATCTAACTCGATTAGTTTTAGGTGATACAAACAACCTTTAGGTGAACAAAACTATTACACTCTGTAGCAATAGGTTGCGAGAGTATAAAAAAATTTTAAATGGGCGCAGGAAAACATCAATCGTGATTGCAGCAATAGTAATATTTACATATGAGTAAGCTTTTGTATTGTTAAACCCTTTAAGACGTGTTTGGCTAAGAAAAGGACAAACATTTATTTAAAAGAGTGTTGAGCATCCCCAAAAGATGCATGTTTATGGTTGCTTTTGTGAGGTACTTCACAGAAAACCTGAAGTCAGCTGAAATGCTTTACAGCAAAAATAACTATTATTGGATACTGAAAAAAGAATATTCTCCGAAACACAGGAGCAAGGCTTTAATGCAAGCCTTAATATCAAAAAAAAAAAAACATTTAACTTTAACAAAATATTTTATTTGGCTACTCCAACATACTTGGTCGCTTCCTGTGGAATATGGGGAAAATTTAATTTCAAATTACCATCAAAGATGTCAAGATATAATAGACAATGCGTAAGATTAGAGCTGATATTGAATTAACTTCATGTATAACAAAACATCTTGGCAAACTTAATATACCCTGTTCAAGGTATAAAAATAAAAAATAATAGTTTGATACTCATAAAAAAATTCATTTGAAATCATTGAATCTAAATTTTCAAGAGTGCAGCCACTCTATATTATTTAATTTAAGATTCATACACCAAACAAACAAAAAAATATTTATTTTTATTAGAGGGGTTAAGGATGGACGTGATAACATAGCGCAATCAATTCATATCTTCAGTTACCGCATTTTAACATTATTTCATAAACCTAGATGTATCTCTATCATATTATACAGTCACGAACAGCCTTTAGGTGAACAAAATACCATGTGAAATCATGTAACTAACACTGGTAAACAAAATTAAACTTTTTTTATGATGTGACTTCGCAAGTTTCAAATCTCTACAGGCTCTTCTTGAAATATCGTTACTCGGCTTACATGAATTAATTTTCATAAATTAACCGCTATGTCTACATTAACAAGTACTTGATTAAATGATCCGAATAGTTTTGTGCTGTTTGTTGTGATTATATAATTAGATAATACCATTTAAATGAGTCTGATTTTATAAAAAATGGCTATTTGGCCTACTTTAGGAATAAAATACATAGAAAATAACTGGCTGATATGCGTTGATCTTAAAATGGTAAATTTTCTTTTGGGTCAACAGGGAGGATATACCAAATACCTCTGTTTCAAGTCCTTATGGAATAACCGAGCCAAAACAGAACACTGGACTAAAAAAGTTTGTAGCATGAATGTAATGAATGCCCTTCTAGTAGCCGGAGACCGAATTATATTACCCAGCCTTCATATAAAGTTAGGTCTGATGAAACAGTTTGGAAAATCTCTAAGCAAGGATGAAATATGAGTAAAAATTTTCCATATTGAGCACAGAAGAAATTAAAGTTGGTATTTTTGACGGTCCCCAAATCAGGGAACTAGTAAAAGACCAAAATTTTGTGCAAAATTTCTTAGGAAATAAAAAGTCTAAAAGGAGAACGCTTTATCAGGATATTCGCACTATGGAAGAGCGATACCAACGTCGTTGGAATGAAAGTATGGTGGCTTAAAGAAAGCACATAAAAGAAATTTTTTTTCATGTTATGTAAGAGCAATATATTTTTTAATTCTAAAATTGCCCACAAAGTCCAAACTTTCATACGCATATGCAATTACAAAGAAAACGATTTTTTAGAAGTTGTTTCTAAATAAATGTGTTCTTTATTTTCAAATTGTGTTAAAAGTAGTTCGTTGAGTATTTGTTTTGTAAGTTATCGCTATATACGTTTGTATCTACGTATGTACCATATCCGATAAAAATTTTCTAAAGAAATAACTCTATATTTTGCATTAAAACATGATTTGTTATTTAAATTGAAAAAAAGAAAAAAAATAATGGCAGGATGGAATTTATTTTAAAAGGAAGATAAAATAACAATGGTCGCCAAGAAGGGAGGGGTTTATCTTGATTTCCGAAAAACATACGAGTCTTATGGAAAAAGTTAAATGATGGCAATGCTTTAGGTAATAAAAAGATCTCTAACTTTTGCGTTAACACGTTTTTCACATAACCTCAAAATTTATGATAAAAACTCAAACAACCAACTTTTTAACCCAAATAAAACCTTCCATTTATTGCGAAAATAATGGATTTCTTTTTACTAGACCTAATATTTAACAATTCAACACTTTTTACTTCTGCGAGCAAAATGTTTGTTGATTGAATTGGGCGGGGCGATCTTTCGGCCAGGCCAAGAATTTTTTGGTTCACGTAGTATTTAATGATACCCTGAACAGGGTATATTGAGTTTGCCAGGAAGTTTGTAACACTCAGAAGGAAACGTCGGAGACCCTATAAAATATATATACGTCTGTCTGTATATTATAGGTATATACAAACTAGTCCTTCAGTTTTTAAGCTATCGATCTGAAATTTTGTACCTGTTCTTTTCTCACTAAGAAGCTGCTTGTTTTGTCAGAACGGCCAATATCGGACCACTATAGCATATAGCTGGCATACAAACTGAACAATCGGAATCAAGTACTTGTATGGGCAACTTTTTTCGATCGGAACAAAGTGCTTGCATGGAAAACTTTTTTATTTGACGAGGTATTTTCACGAAATTAGATCGGAATCAAGTTTTTGTAAGAACCTTTGTGTTTGTGAAGGGCATTCTAGCTTCTGTGCAACCGAAATTAACGTTTTTTCTTGTTATACTCTCGCAACCTGTTGCTACAGAGTATAATAGTTTTGTTCACCTAACGGTTGTGTGTATTACCTAAAACTAATCGAGTTAGATATAGAGTTATACATATATAAACGATCAGGATGAAGAGGTTGACATCCGGGTGACTGTCTGTCCATTCGTTCGTCCGTCTGTGCAAGCTGTAACTTGATTAAAAATTGAGAAATCATTGTAAAACTTGGTACACATGTTTCTTGGTATTGTAAGACGGTTGGTATTGCAGATGGGCATAATCGGACCACTGCCATGCCCATAAAACGACATTAATCAAAAACAAATAAATTGCCATAACTAAGCTCCACAGCAACAAAGAAGTCTAAATTAGTTTTGTACCTATATTTTACTTCCTATTAACAAAAATTATACTAAAATCATCATCAAATCTGACAGGATTAAAGCCAACTATGCGGTATAAAGTCAGCCGGAAGTTAGAAAATCTTTCTATTAGGTATATAAAGGCTATGGGAATTTTTGAACCGATTTAACCCAGGCATACTATTATCAGAAAAGGATCTTCTCCGAATTTCTATAATACCATATATCTCACAGATTTACTGATATTTTCGATAAAAAGTTCGCAACAGGTACTGGGGTCCACATTTTGGGTATCTGGGTGTTTGAATAGTTTTTGTCCGGCTTGGACAATTTTTTTCATAAGGTGGCACGCCTTAAAGCAACTTTTCGTGAAAAGTTTTATCCGGACACATTGATTAGTTTTTGATTTGTATACTGGAATGTGATAGAATCAGATGGAATTTAAAACTGTGTTATATGGAAAGTAAGCGTGGTTTTTGTCTAATTTCACCTACAAGTATTTTTATACTGTCGTATAGGAATGTCAGGATAATATTATATACCGAGTTTAATTGATATCGATCGAGTACGTCCCGGGATATGGGTTTTCATCTAAATGTTTTTTTGTTGTATTGGCTTTTATAAAGAATTCTCGTTCCATCTCGGGTGTACATTTTTTCCTAAATAAGATTTTATTTAGGCGCAAATTCCTTTATAGATTTATCGCACTTTTAGTAGATTTTAACAAAACCGTTATATGGGGAGAGGGCGGGGTTATGATCCGATTTCATCCATTTCCACACTGCCAGTAGGAGTTCAAAAGGATTTTTTCTAAGCGAATTTGGACATTGTAGCTTTAGTGGCTTAGAAGATATTTACATTAAGCTTATTGGGGCCCCGCTTATTTTTTTTTTTAGTTTTTAGCCCACAGGTGCCACTTTCTACTGCGATCCCCTGTACTAAATTACAGTTTTACATTTTAAATAAGTGCTAAGCATTTTATAGATTTTCAATTAATGGCGTTTCGTGGGCGATTGCGTCCATCTACTAACTCCTAACTTTTTCGCCAAGGAATACGTATATCAAGTTTCATTCAGATATCTTAATTTTTACTCAAGTTATCGCTTGCACAAACGGACGGACAGATAGACTGTCACTCGTAATTCAACTCGTTTGGTCATCCTGATCATTTATATATACATATAGGTATAACTCCATATTTATCTCAATTCGTTTTAGGTGATACAAACAACCGATAGGTAAACAAAACTATTATTCTCTGTATAAAAACTATATGTTTAATTATATAATGTTGAACTGCGCTGTTATCTATTCTGTGGCGGAGATAATGATACTTACTTGACTATTGTTGCTATTATGCGTGATGTTGCTGGTCTTTCTGTTATTGCTATTGCCAATACTGCTATTACTATTAATATTGGTGTTGTTAATATTTTCGTTACTATTTCTACTTTGCTGCTGCTGATAATGATTCTGCTGAAGATTGCTGGTGGCGTATTCCATTTGATCTGAACAAAAACTTATTGGTTCTGTTGTCGGATCGGTTTTTAAAGTCGAATCGTTGATTCCTGAGTTTTTGTGCGCCGACAAATGTTGTAGGTGCAGCTGCTGCTGTATATGCAATTGGTTATTGTATTGTTGTTGCTGCTGATGTTGCAAATCTTGTTGTTGGTAATAGTTATGGGGGTATTGGGGCTGTTGTTGTTGATGTTGTTGTAATGGATATGGATCAAATAAAGTTTGCAAATCGAAATAATTTGGCTGCTGCTGATGTTGCGAAAGCAGCGAAAGCGCCATTCGGTTTTATAAATATGCCAAAAATTTTAAAACACACCCACACGCTCGGCTAAAACGCAATATTTATGTTCGACTACCGAAATTAACTAATAGAGTCCCGGAACAAATGTTTTCATATACATACGTTGTTATTATTTCTTTCCGACGCGATATTAGTTTTAAATTTTAGAAGACAACGAAGAAAGTCTTTAGATCTTTCTAATGAAGTTGATCGTAGTAAAAGGGTAGCGCGTTTCAGAGTGTGTATTCTATTAACACATATTTTTGAAATTTTTAAGAGTTTGAGGTTCAAGAATCTTGCAACATTTATTTTTACTATTTGATGCTATTTACACTTTGATTTTACTAATAACCAGATGCTGCTTTACACTAATTTCTATTATTTTTTCTCTTATTTTATATTTAACTCCTTAATATCGATAATATGAATATAGCTTTGTAACACACTAGTAACAAATATACTATGTTGACTAAATACTTTGCTTTGACACTGAAGGCTATCTCAATGAAATAGTTCGCAAGCTTCACAGATAAAATGTTTAAAATAACACGAAAAAGGAATTGTACAGCTCCTTTATTCCTGTTGTCTCACGTTGACGATGGCTTCGAAGTAGGGTATTCTCGATTTTCAGCAGCATTTTGTTTATCAGATACATGTAACTCACTTGGTGCTCATTGGAATGGAATCTGAGTTCTTTGTGATTAGGCTTCTCCATTTATTGAAAGGCAAAGTTTTGTTTTCGTGATCGAAAATTTTAAAAACTCGGTTTGTATAGTTTATTCTCAAGTATTATTGTTCGTGTGGATTTCTCACTGTTCGCGTTCGCAGCAATTTATCAGTTTAATCACGCAGCACTCTAACTACTCACTTTCTGTTGTTACGCTTATCGCGTCTAGTCAAATGCTTGAATTCATCATGGTTCTTTGTTTTTGTTCGATGCCCGACAATATTACACCGAATATTCAGATTTATTTACTTGCACTTTTTTTTACTTTTTCAGATTGTGTAGCGTTTTTACTTCTTTTTCTTACTTCTTATTTCAGACTGATATGATAATTTGTGGAAAATATTAAACAGACTACGCTCTCCGAAAATGTGGTGTTTTGAAATTATTCCGACTCGCTCATCACTCGATTACTTTCTGAAATGGGTTTTTCGTTTTGTTAATAATTCGTCACTGCGAAGAAACGCTAGTCAAAATGGTGATTTGTCTATACAATGCTATAAGCGTAATCTTGTTCACTGCTCATGTGTGTTTAACTTTTTTAGCTATGTATTTTATAATATATTCTACACTGTATTTGTTAATATGATAAGTTCACTTCTGCACACATTTGTTGTTTATTTCATGGTTGTTATTGTTTTTACTTTTTGCTGTTGAATTGTTGACACTGTCGTTATGAGCTCGGCCAGTTAGTAAGGGCGTGATTTAATTGTCGTTTCCGCTAGTTTCTCAAACTACTAAATGTTCACTTAATGTAAATACACACGTATTTATTATCGTGTAATATTTGTTAGAGTTTTAAACAGAGTTGCTTGAATTAAAATGCACTTATTTATTAATCAAACTGGGTATTTCAAATTCTTGACTCCTGAAACGAAAAAACACTAGCGTGTAAAATAATTAGGCGCACATTCTCCAGATACTCGTACATATGTACATATATCGACAAATGGACATTCACTGAGGCTACACTAACAATCTTTTATCATCTAGAGTCTGCGTGTGATTTGTTTTTGTCAGTAGTTGGGGTTTTCGGTGAGCGTCTATGAAACGATTACGCACGTTAAAGGAGCAATTTTAATACAACGAAGCAATGCTTCGCACAGCGAAATGAGACCATCATTTTAGTAAAACTTTTGGCTGAATCCAACCACCACCGCAACCGTGTCGTTCGTACACGAGGTCAAAACAAAAATGATCGAGGAGAAATTGTGTCGATTGCGAGAAACTGCAGAATCCGTATACAATCAAACGGTTCAGCGATAGTGATTGTTCTAGACTTGCTTGTGTCTCTGTCAACAGGTCCAGCTATGGCGACGATTCAAACACGGACTCCGATAGATCTACTGGTGGCGCTCGCTCGATACTCACTACAAGTACAAAATAAATGAAAACGAAAACGAAAACTACTGATGACTGCGGCCTAAAGAGCTTATTTCATTACTAACCTATCCATATATACATACGAGTATTTACGTCCATTTGTAATACACACATTTATACATATTGTCATCAATGTTGCTTGGTTGGCGTTGTCTCCATATATCGACATACATAAGTATGTATGTATAAACATTTTACTCATGAATGTTACTGATGGCTCTGCCACTGACAGTCACTTACTACACACATACATACTAATAAACGTGTATGTAGCTAATTGAATGGGAAATAAGCGTGAAAGAGGTCGGGTACTAGCGCTCAGGAGTGTGGGGCCTCTATTGTTCAGATACTTATCTTAATAAACCGTTCAAATGTATGCAGATGTGCTGCGTGTATGTGTGTGTATATGGATATTTATATGAATAGTCTATGAAAAGTAATCAGGGAGCAAGCGAGTACGTTATGAGGTAGAAGAGATCGAGAGCTCAACTAACCTTTGCTAGCAGGTTGGTGAGCTTCATGTGCTTTACACACATATGTATATGTATGTACATATATTACAGCGTACTCTTTCCGCTCCCTTTGTATGCGGTGTTAGCAAATGTACGTACTCAAATACAAGACTGTGTGCTTAAATTAGCAATATTTTTTTCTGACAATTAAGTGTTTAAAAGCGTCATTCGGCCAGCTTTGCCTTCGTAAAATATTGTATTCGTGTTAATGTGATAATGAATGTATTTCTATTGCTGTGCATAAATAAATAAATGTACTCATCCACGTGAGTATTACTTGCTTATTTAAAATTGTACGATCGTCTATTTCTCAAATTCACCATACACACCCGATCACGAACTGGAGTTCACTTACGATCGTATCAACACATACATACATATTTACATACTTAAATCTACGTAAGCTTATGTGTTTTTGTCACTCGCTTATTACTTTTGAACGATCGTATGTATGTATGTATGTACATACGAGTATGTAATTTACTTTCGTCGTGTCTGACAAAATAATAACGTTTAACAGATCTTGCCTTGTGAGTGGGATCACGATGATTTCCCGTTTCAATCAACAAATGCCGACCAATTGGCTTTCCTTCGTTCAATAGTACATAAAAGACGACACTGTTCGTTAAACAGCAGTTTTTGATATTTTATTATTGCTTACTTCGTTTTGTTCTGATCTTATTGTCGCAGAAGTTGGGCATTGTGGTTACTGATGTTGATATCGGAAACACATTAACAAGCTCACTTACAAACCGATCCATACGTTAGCATGTGAATGCGCAAAGCCACAAATTCATGTCTGATACTCACACACTTACAACTGAGCACTCACAGTTGCTTCTCGACTGTGTTTTCTCACTGGCCCAGCAAACAAGGGATATTGCTCACAAATTGATAATGAAACCCCAAACATTTGTTTCATATAAATACATATGTGCATTCATACATATTTACATGCTTTATTAATTTTTATTAAAGTTTTGATCTAATGTCAATTATATTTCCTTGAAGACATTTTTGAAACGAATTTATTAAAATTCTTAGAAGCAAAAATTGTGCACGAGAGACATTCACATACTTTTATATATTATATTATACTTATATATTATATTGAAACAGATCCCGGCATCTGACGTTCAAGGAAACACTTGCTATAATTACAATCGTAACAATCGTACTAACTTCGCTGAATGCGGCATGAGCTGGTACGAGTTATTGTTTCCAAAAGCTGTTCTCACCATTCAGCGAAAATTGGAGCCATGGTTCACCAAATGGTTTTTAGTCAGCAAAATAACTCGCTCTACCTACATGACATGTGCATGTATTTTCATACATAAGTACATACATGTTGTTATGCCAACGCCGGCAATGCATTTCATACATGCACTTATGTATATATTCATGCACTCGCATTGAAACACAGTAGGGAATTGCTCGCGTACGATAGGATATACCACCGAATGTGTAAGTTCTAGTTATACAAGTAAGTATATAACGAGAACAAGTAAGGAAGGGCTAAGTTTGGATGTAACCGAACATTTTATACTCTCGCGAAGTCAAATGGTATACTTATGTACTCGTTTGAGATTTCTTTGTGGAGTGATTGATATTTTCGGTAGAAGGTGAACTATAGGCACTGGGGTCCACATATTTAGTACTTAGAGGCTTGAACAGTTTTGGTTCGATTTAGACAATTTTTGGTCACAAGGTGGCATACTTTAAACGTATTATTCACGCAAAGTTTTACCCCGATATAATCATTGTTGCTTGATATGCATAGTGGAAAATGAAAGAATCAGATGAAATTGAAAATGGTGTTATATGGGAAATAGGCGTAGTTGTAGTCCGCTTACGCCCATTTTCGCACTATAACAGAATATGAAAATGTGAAAGGAACGTTATGCCCCGAATTTGGTTAAAATCGGTTAAACAGATCCCAAGATATGGGTTTTCACCTAAAAGTTGGCGGTGCCACGCCCACTGACTAATTTTGAACGCTGTTCCTGTAAAATCATCTTATACCATCCCAGAGATAAAATTTAATGTCTCTGGCGTGTTTAGTGATTGATTTATCGCGCTTTTAGTATTTTTTAACAGTACCATAATATGGGGAGTGGGCGGGCTTGTTACTCGGTTTCACCCATTTTCACACTGTCAATAGAGGTGCTAAAAACATTTGCTCCCAGTGCATTTGGTTGTTATAGCTTTAGCGGTTTAGGAGATATGGACAGTAAAGTTATTAGGGGCGGGATCACGCCCACTTTTTAAAAAAAATTTTACTGCAGATGCCCCTCCCTAATGTGATCCTTTGCACCATATAACATTCTTGTATTTTATTGCGGAGCTTAGTTAGTTAGTTGCGAGAGTATAAAAATAATTCTTTTCCTTTTTGCTTCAGATGACGTTTTCGTATCCGTTTATGTTTATTCTGGAAATGTTTGCCTACAAACTTCCATAAAATAACTTAAGGGGGCTTTCTACTTTGAGAGATCAACAAAATCACTTTTTTTTGCATATTTAGATAGATACATATTAGAATAGAGAATACGCTCTCAAAATTTCGAAATTTGAAATCTGTTATTACGACAGTTATCGGCCGTTAGGTAGGGCGGTGTCAAGATCTACAACTTTTGTTTTGACACCTTTTTCACATAATCTCAAAATTTATGTGAAAAATCATAATAACCAATTTTTTGGTTTTTATACTCTCGCAACTTGTTGCTACAGAGTATAATAGTTTTGTTCACCTAACGGTTGTATGTATCACCTTAGACTAATCGAGTTATATAGGGTTATATATATATAAATGATCAGGATGAAGAGACGAGTTGAAATCCGGGTGACTCTCTGTCCGTCCGTCTGTGCAAGCTGTAACTTGAGTAAAAATTGAGATATCTTTATGAAACTTGCTACACATGTTTCTTGGTACCGTAAGACGGTTGGTATTGCAGATAGGCATAATCGGACCACTGCCACGCCCATAAAACGCCATTACTCAAAAACAAATAAATTGCCATAACAAAGCTCTACAAGACTCCTATTTGGTATACAGGATCACATTAGGAAGGGGTATCTGCAGTTAAAAAATTTGTTTTAAAGTGGGCGTGGTCTGCCCCCCTAACAGGTTTAATATACATATCTCCTTAACCGCTAAGGCTATAATAACAAAATTCACTAAGAGCAAATGTCTTTAGCACCTCTATTGACGGTGTGAAGATGTGTGAAATAAGGTGACAACCCTGCCCACTTCCCATATAACGGTACTGTTAAAAACTACTAAAAGCGCGATAAATCAAGCACTAAACACGCCAGAGACATTAAATTTTATCTCTGGGGTGGTATGAGATGACTTTATAGGAACCTCGTACAAAATTAGAAAGTGGGTGTGGCACCGCCCACTTTTTGGTGAAAACCCATATCTTGGGATCTGCTTAACCGATTTCAACCAAATTCAGTACATAATATTCCTCTTATATTTGTATCTTATTGTGCGAAAATGGGCGAAATCGGATTACAACCACGCCTATTTCCCATATAACATCATTTTAAATTCCATCTGATTTTTTCACTTTCCAGTATGCAAATCAAGGAACAATGATTATATCGGCGTTAAACTTTGCGTGAATAATACTTTTAAAGTATGCCACCTTGTGACCAAACAATATCAAAATTGAACCAAAACTATTCAAGCCCCTAGGTACAGAATATGTGGACCCCAGTGCCTATATTTGACTACTTACAGAAAATATCGGTCAATGTGTAAGATATATAATTGAAATTCATATAATAAAATAAATAAATGAATGTCTCGATAATAGTTAGGGTTAGGTAAGCGGGTCGATCCTAAGAAGGATCACACTTGGACAGCTTAAACGCCGGTCCGTTGTGGTACCCAAAACTCCTATGAGCCGGATCAATAGACCCTTACATGTCGACAAAGCGCTTTGTGCCTATGACAAACTTGTTGAGACGGCCAATATCTGTTTCGGCCAGATCTTCTGGTCCGCCAAAAGTGTGATTGCCGAGATGTTTCAATCTCAACCTAGCAAAAGCCGGACAATGGAGGAGAAATTGCCGGGATGTTTCCACTTCACCCTCCTCCATACAGCTTTGACAACTGCCATCGGGTAGTATTCTAAGCCGCACCGCATGAGTTCCCATTGGACAGTGCCCAGTGAGAACTCCTACCATGGCGGCGAGGTAAACTTTGTTCAAGGCGAGAAGACCCCCCGACCTCCTGCGATCCACTCTCGGCCAGAAGGACCGCGCAGTCGCGCAGGAGCTGGTCGTCGACCAGCGTCTGCTGAGCGCATCCGAGGTCCATTGGCCCAGAGCCAGAATGCAAGACGTTAGTGGAGAACCAACTCGATCTCATTCCGATGTGAGCTGGGCAAGGGTGCCCCCCCTGGGTGCCCCCCCTCGGCCTTGCAATTCCCAGCGATTCCGCTGTGACCAGGCAACCAAACTATCCTGATATTGAAGTAGCCTGATACTAATTCTAGCGAGGACAGACACTCCTTGACTAGCTTTGAATGCACGGTTCGCGCACTCAGGGCTTGTATTGCCGCTCTGCTGTCGGAGTGAATGCTCACCTCTCTAAACGAAGCTACACTACGCAACAGTACTTCTACCGTTCTACCTTGATCGCGGCCACTTCCGCCTGAAAAACGCTACAGTGGTCCGGTAGCCTGAAGCAAAGATTGACGGAGAGCTCTTTACAGAAAACCCCCCGTTCAACTTTCCCTCCTAGCTTCGACTCATCCGTGAAAAAGCTCACCGCGCCTGTTCTCCAGCGGCTTCTTCCCCTCCACATCTCCCTCGTCGGGATATGAGCAGAGAAAAAGCCGCTGTGACGCAGTGATCCAAATTTTCAGGAATGCAGGTGAAGGAGGAGAGAATTGCGGCGTGTCCTTGTTCGGACCTCTTCACAAGCCCAGCTTCTCTAAGTCTAATAGCACACCTCTCAGCAATGCACCTACCGGCAAAGTCCACAGGTGCTATATTTAATATAGCGTTGAGAGCTATCGTTGGTGTGGTTCGCAGTGCACCGGAGACTCCGATGAGCGCCGCTCTTTGGACTCGCTCAAGCTTTTTAGCCAGGGTAGTATTTTTGAGCGCCTTTCACCAGACGAACACACCATAGAACAGTATTGGCTTGACTACGGTTTCGTAGAGCCAGAACAGCACCTTTGGTGAGAGTCCCCACCTTTTCCCTATAGCTCCCCTGCAGCAGTATAAGGCGACCGATGCCTTCTTGACTCTCTCCTCGATGTTCGGCCTCCAAGAAAGCTTTCTATCCAGGATGAACCCTAGGTATTTCACTTTAATAATAGTATGTTTGTGTAAAAAAATGGGTTGAATCGGATCAATAATTCCTATATCCCTCATATACCTAATATAAAGATTTTTGAAATTCCAGGTGACTTTATACCGCATGTATAATGTGAGTTATCTCAATGAAAATGATAGAGCGTGTTTTACTCATAACAAGGTATCTTTGTGCCTAAAATAGACGAAATTGGGTGGAAATTTTACCTAGCCCCCATGTAACCAATATCAGGATTTTCGAATATTCGTCTGACTTTACTCCATATGATTATTGATGGTATGTGACGTACCTTAATGAAACAGTGGCATTCTTACCAGTTTTATGCCAAATATTTCGGTCAGTGAGTATAAACATTTTTTATACACTCGCAACATGTTTATATATAAAATTTATTTAAAATATGTTCTCTATGCTCGAGTATAGCTGAGCAATGTCAAAATTAATATTCTCTATTCTCAATATAAAGGGTGTTTTGTTTTAGAGGTATAGATCTTTAAATTGCAATAAAACAACGATAGATTATTCGATTGACATGAATTTTATTTATCCGAAAGATAATCTTGTGGCATTATATTTTAAATATGATTTCAGGGATATTACCGCCACGCCTGGCTCGGACGTAGTCCAATCTGAACGTCCAATTCTCGATGACTTTTTCCAACATTTGTGGCCGTATATCGGCAATAACTCGGCGAATGTTGTCTTCCAAATGGTTAAGCGTTTGTGGCTTATGCGCATAGACCAATGACTTTACATAACCCCAGAGAAAGTAGTCTAGCGGTGTTAAATAACTAGATCTTGGAGGCCAATTCACAGGTCCAAAACGTGAAATTAGGTGGTCACAAATGTGTCTTTCAATAAATCGATTGTGGCGAGAGCTGTGTGACATGTTGCACCGTCTTGTTGGAACCATAGCTCCTAGACATCATGGTTGTTCAATTCAAGAATGAAAAAGTTAGTAATCATGTCTATATGCCGATCAGCATTGACTGTAACTTTCTGGCCATCATCGTTTTTGAATAAGTACGGACCAAGGATTCCACCAGTACATAAAGCGCACCAACCAGTTAGTTTTCAGCTGTTAAATCGGTCACCATCTCGAACAGTAATGCCAACTTAAATGGTATAGAACCCTCGAAAAAAAACACCCGTTAT